CATAGACATCTACAACGTAAATGCGCCACCAACCTTGAGATATAAGTTCTAAGGTCTCAGTATAGTTACAACGGCTGCCCCACCCTTCAAACCAACACGCACTACTACTTCACGGCAGAAATAGGCAGGGTTGTAGTACCTACCCGTGCGGACTCACAAGAGGTCCTACCACCAGTAGACCATAGACATGCAGACCACAGACCACAGAATGATGCAACCAGTAGTGCAACAACGTTGAGGATTCCCATATCCGGACCATCATCGGATCATCATCATCATCGATAATTTTTATTTGCCCCTTAACAAATATTTCAGTCATTGAGAGCACATCAGAAATTTAAATCAGGATGAAAATTGTAAATTGCACCAAACAGTTTGGCGAAATCGATAAACAATATAGTCAAGTCAAAGTTAAGATCACGATTCTGAGATCAAGCCCGACGTCGAATAACTAACCCATTGTCGGAGTCCGGGCCGCTATAAATTATGTCCGACTGTCCCCTTCCCGGGCCAATAGTTTGTAACTAAAGCCCGGGATAGGAAAGAAACAGTCAGACAGTTTGATTTAATTGAAATATCAATTATAATTTAATTGCGTTAAAATAAACAAATCAAATCAAATCAAATCAAAAAAGTTTTATTCAACATAAATGAAAGTACATACTTGTTGAACGTCAAAAGAACTACCGCCAATTCACAAGAACTAGCCTCCGTCCTGAGAAGAATTGGCAAGAAACTCAGCGGGCATGTCTTTTTTTTTTGAAATATTAGATAATTTTTTTTCATATTAGATTTTTTTAAATATTCATTTTTACAATAAGTAACTATAACATAACAATTATTACAATATAAATGCCCGGAGCGAGCGCACAATTCGACCCTCAAAATTGGAAAAATAATTGCTCCATTGCAAAAATAGGTACAGTTTAAATATAGATACTTCTCGTAGGCTATATTTGAGAAAATCAGGTCCTCGCATTTGTATCACCACACCGCTCGCCACCGAAGCAGAGATCATCTAAGCTTTGTAGAACCACTGCGTTCACCCGCTGTGCATCCAAAAATCATTATTGCGGCATATTAAGCGGTTTTGGAGTGAACTTGTCTGAGAGTACTCACTAGTGGGCAGCTTGTGGCTATGCCTTGGTATTGCTGACGTCCACGGTAGCCACTTATCGTTAAGTAGGCCGCAAGGTCGTTAGCTTAGAAAAGGAAACTAAAAAAATGCAACATCAACAAACTGCGGTAGTGAATGGAATATATCATTTAATATATAAGTAATAAGAGAAATATTTTCTTTGTAACAATATTTTTGGCACTACTAAGTACATAATCAACTATCTGCATATTATGTGTTATTTGCTATGTTATATAAAAGTTACTAGCTGTACCCGTCCGCTTCGCTGGGCATTTAAAATTAACATTATTGTTTCTCACCCCCACAAAGAATTTCATCATTAACACCCCCGCAACTGGTGTAGAGAATCCAACGCTCATATAAATATTCGCCTATCCATTAAGTACATGTATTTCCTACATGGATACCAAGTTTCAAGTCAATCAGATGCATTGTTCAGTAGTTATAACGGAACATCCGTAAAAATCACTGCAGATTTAAATATTAGTATAGATTAACGTATTGTTTCATCACCACCTTTGGTTTCCGTTCCATGTAATCGATTTTCTTAGTCTTCTCCCACAAATTGTGCCCTGGATCCATTGTTGTTGGGTGCAGCCGGCAGCTTGCGGATTGCAATGACTTTTGCCACTTTTGTCTGTTAACAATGGCTCTCTGACAGACGATAGTCGGTGAGAATAAGGAAAAGAAGTCATTTCAATTTTCGCTGAACAGATTTATTTTTATTCTTTTTGGGTTTGTTTCAATCGTGGACTTATCGGATGCTATTATTGTTGAAGATTCATAAGTACTCACAGTTGTCAGGTGGGCGGTACTCCTTTTGATTTATCTTTAATATTGATAGTATTTTGAATTCTTTATGTAACTCAGAGGAAACAATGTCTAAAAAGAACTTCTAAAGCGGGTGTAGCTAAATGTAGCGGACAGATTTAATGACGTCATACCGACGAGCCCGGCTCATCTGACGTCATAAGTCTACCGAAACTCATAAGCAATACAGCTCGAATGTCAGCAAATGAGACGTAATATTGAAACCTGAAAATTAATTAGTAAAATGGCTCTTACTCTACAAACGGGAATGAAAGATTGAAACTAACTGAAAAATCGATAATTCTCCCGCGAATTAGTTGAATATCTGCGCATTTACAAGGAATGGTAGAAACCGACCATTAAAATTCGCATATTGCAAACTAACACCAATATACCTATTTTCTTAATCGTTCGAAACCTCTGGGTGTACGCATGGATTTATATTATCTCTGGTTTTGATATTTACCGTATTTCCATAGTGAGATTCTTTAAGGAACTGAAGAGATAATCTCATCATTCCCTTTTCACCAAGTCCACACTTTATTACTGTCAAGAATCACGCTGTTCCACTTTGCTCCCAAATATATTTACTCTCTTAGTTATGATTAAAATACAGTTTGATATACGCCGCTGTTGGCAGAGTGATATCTACAGCTAAGATTGCCCAAATCCCCAGTGTTTCGGGTCTCCTCCTTACGCGGAGTGGTGAGGGAAACAAAAGAAAACGAGGAGGTGGGACGTATGCACCCTTCTTCTAATTAAGAAACTGCCCCTCTGCCGTTATCGGATCCTTTTACTTCCATATTTATAGAGCATACTTTTCAAAAAGTAGCGTCAAAGTTTAAGTTTAATAAAGTCACAACGTCGATCCCAGACCATATTATTATAGTTTGAAATAAATTTACTGCATAACTTGTGACACGAACTTTCCAGTTTTCAACAACTTTTCCACAAAGCTCCGACCACGGAGAAATGTTTTGAACTCATACATTCTTCATGTAATTTTATCAAAATGCTTACATGTTTATCACAAAATTCAGTTAGTATTGTATTTGCATAATTCAGTTTTATTCATCAAAACTGTAAAAGAAGTTTGATTTTAACAGCATGTAGATATATTGCCTTTAATTGTTCCTTGAGGTGACTTAGCTTAGCTAACTAACTTAGCTAGTCTTTTGCAAATAAATAGTCTGTGAGTATGTCTTACATTTAGTGTATGCCAACGACATTTTCAAGATAAGTTTTTAAATAAAAGTTCCGAACAATAACATTGAGACCATAGGTAAGCCGAGCAATTTCAAGCACTCGATGAAAGATCTTTACTTTGTCGATGTTTCCAAATAACCAGTTACAGCATTGAACTCATATCATTAGCTCCGGGTAGGCGGAGCCATTGATACTCGATATCGCATCCGAGTGATGTGGGACAAAAACTTATCGAAGAAAACAACTAGAGGAGGCTACGAATACTAAGTTTGAAAATGTTCAGAATCCAAATTCATTGCGTTGCTGTGTAGTGTATATTCAATGTATTTTGGATATTTGTCAACAGATGGCACTATAACAAAATGTTGTTACACCACTCAAACAGTACGCGTACGACATAGAAAATCATTTAAGGGTATAGTACTAAAAGTGGCTGCTGCTAATTGGTAAAAGGCATTAACAATATACATAATATGCTAATTTTGTGACAGCTGCGACAAGTTTTGTGACAATTTGGATCCTCAACAAATTCATATTTTGTTTGTTGGTGACAAGTGCCATGTATAGTATATACATATTATTATGTACCACATTCCGACCCGGCAGGCTAGTTCTGGTCCAGTGAGGTACCGTAAAGGAACGACCGACGTAGAGTATCCAACTACCGCCTCGATGATCCGCCGGCCATATCTCCTTGGAAGAGGCGCTGCTGTCGGCATTCTGGACTATACCACTTGGCCAAAATCAAGTGCCGGATCGAAAGCACCATACACCGCCAACCGATTGTTCTTTAGCAGCAACTCTGTAGAAATGCTGTCATACGGTCCGTTAAAATGGTCGTTAGCGCCGCGCGGCTTTTCCCCTTCAGGTCGCCATGTAACCATCACCGGGGGGAGACCGCCGCCAGCCGTAGGAGCCGGATCGTATATTGGCCTCCGGGTCGGCGACGACAAATCACCATCAGAAACAAAAAACAAAAGTCATGTGGCGTCACATAATCTATTCGTAAAGCGTACACAGTCGTTTGTGTTACGGAATGCTTATGAAGCAGGGTACAGCTGTCATTACATAGAGGGAGGATTACAAATTAGCAAAAAAAAAATTTTTTTTTAAACCGTGCTTCACATAAAATGCTTATGAATTTTATAAATGTTAAGAAAGGTAAAGGTATTAGGTAAAAAGTAAAAAGGGTAGGTATTAGGAAAGAACGGTAAGATCAATTAGTTTAATTTGTGCTTAAAATAGGTAATAATGCATAAGAAAGTAAATAAAATGTACAGGAATTCGTTCAAAATCTCTCTTTTTGAAATACAAAGATATTATTGATATTTGTCTTTTGTTTTTATTATTATTTTATATTCAATTGCAGAATATTAGAATTACACTTTGAGTTAATTACAGTAATTACTCTCTGTTCCGAATTATAATTTAGAACTTGTTTTTGTATGTAGGGTTATACATAGACACGTGTATATTTAAATCTATACATATATAAGATTGTAGGAGTATGTGCATTAAATTTCATCCTTTGTATAATTAAACCTTTTTTTATTTTATTTTTATTGCCCTTGTAGGCAGACGAGCATACGACCCACGTGATGGTATGTGGTTACCGTCGCCCATGGACTTCAGCAATGCTAGGGACAGAGCCAAGCCGCTGCTGCCTATCACTTAATACTCTCCACAAGGCTCGTTTAAAGAAGGACATGTCATAGCGCTCGGGAAACACCGCGGAGGGGAGCTCATTCGATAGCCGGATGGTAAAAATGTCCTCTGGAAACGCAGCTATATTTGCTTGCAATGTTGAATCCGGTTGTAATAAATACTTAAGTCAGCTTGGCGCGATACAGTTCACAGTTTACAATGAGCGAGCACTGCGAGACTGACTCTAACGCAAGGAGGTATGAGAATTAATGTATTAATTAATGTAATAAATAATTTTTTACATGATTTTTCTTGCAAGTGAATATTTTGTAAAAAAACTTTGCTAAGAAAAAAATGAATTTTGAGTTGTTTAGTTCTACGTTCATTCCTTTTAACTTATATTTTTTTGTTTGGATGAAATAATAATTCTATTTTTTTTAAGTGATTTTATGACCTGGTAACTAAGACCTTTAAGTCATGTCTTATTTTAATTTATATTCTTATTTTTATGAAAAATGATAATATGGAGTGAAATGAAATGAAAATGATTAACTTGAGACATTAATCAACTGGGATGAAATTAAATGAAATGAGATGATATGGGATGAAATATAATCTTAGTAAAATGGTGGTCATTTACTAAGATTTCTTCAGTGGAATTTTTGGAGGATCCCGAGAAGTTGCGTCCAGCGGCTTTGTTTCATTTTCCCACATTTATGCACTTTCACAGATATTAAACAGTTAATAAACCACCGTTATTACATATTTAAACCTGAAGAAACACTAAATAGACAAAATAAAACAAATCACACAACTTCACTCCTCGCGTTCCCGCCAAAAAGTCTTAATAATTCTGTAAAGGAAAAACATAGTTCTACCTGCACAATATCGAATGGGCGTAAATATAATATTATATTGTACTATGAAAATAGTTTTGCTAATCTTTTCACTCCGACGTCAATCCCCTTTGTAACCCAAAGTTGTATATTAATACAACATTGAAATACATGAAACTTTGGATCATGAAATAGATGAAACCATATAATAATGAACAACTATTGTAAAAGTTCCTCATTTCAGTTTTACCATGAACGATGACGCTGAACTGTATCGGAACAGTAGCAGTATGCAAAGGCGAGACGCTTTGAATTCTTTAACTGAATATTTACCTAAATTTAAATGGAAGGAAAGTAAAGAGAAGATTTTAGACATCGGTTGTGCTGACGGAAGTGTCACTAATATCATTAGCTCATGCTGTCCCACGGACTTTGAACTTTTTGAAGCGTGCGACGTGAACGTTAAATCTGTTAAATATGCTACGGAGCATTACGGAACCAGTAAGATGAGGTTCAGAGTCATGGATATAGAGGGTGACCTACCGAAGGAGATGGAAAGAAAGTTTGATCACGTCTTTTCATTTTACACGCTGCATTGGATCGAGAATCAAGAGTGAGTTTTCAGTAATCAAATGCTTCGTATCATAATGAAATTGTGGCGGTAGCCATCTCAGAACACAAGATGTTTCGTGTTATGAAAATCAAACACGCAAATTTTAATTTGCGTAATTACTGGTGGTAGGACCTCTTGTGAGTCCGCGCGGGTAGGTACTACCACCCCGCCTATTTCTGCAGTGAAGCAGTAATGCGTTTCGGTTTGAAGGGTGGGGCAGCCGTTGTAACTATACTTGAGACCCTTAGAACTTATATCTCCAGATGGGTGACGCATTTACGTCGTAGATGTCTATGGGCTCCAGTAACCACTTAACACCAGGTGGGCTGTGAGCTCGTCCACCCATCTAAGCAATAAAGAAAAAAAATGTTTTTTAACAGATACCTGAATTTCGATTATGACATTTTCAAGATAATCTTGCATCTAAACAAGTTCCGAACAACAACATTCAGACCGTCGGTCAAGCAATATCACCGTCTCGATGGAAGAACTTCCCTTCATCGTTATACCTTCCACAAAACTTCTTTTTGCATTCACTTATTTGTCGACAACGAAGATGAGTCCACGTCGGCTATCCCGGTCAGTAGGCCGTCAGACCCAGGCCGCTCGCGCGATGTCGCCGGTGCTCCGTGAAGAGCTCATGGGACTGCAGGCTACTGGACTGCCTCATGGGTTTCAAAAGCGGAAGCGACTCTTGACCGGCGCTATCCAGAATGATTCAAATCCGCTGTTTTCCGCCTTCATCCGTTGTTAACAATTATTATTTTTATTATAGCGTACACTCTGGTATCTTCCTGCCGCGATGGCGTTAGATACAAGGCGCGTGATTTTTAGTTTATTAGTACTGCTTCATCACATATGAAACTTCCAGGAAAGCCTTTCAAAACATTTACGATCTCACGGCAGATGACGGTGAGTGCTTCCTAACCTTGCTGGCTCAAATGCCTGTCTTCAACTTATTTGATGCTCTCAAACACACTGATAAATGGCGACATTGGCTCAGATACATCAAAAACTTCATCTCCCCATACTATGAGACTTCGGTAAGACAGATTTGTTTATATTATATAAATTACTGTACGTCAAGTTTTTTTAGTATAATATTATCTAAAACAATCAACGTTTATATATTTTTTCTATTTCATATATACAGTATATTGCAATTATGATCACACATCATTGCCCCAACTTTCAAACTAAAAAATTGATATTTTAAAATTGAAAGATAATATTTTATAATAACAATTTGTTAGTATAATGCCATTAAAACTATGACGAAAAGTTTTGTGATACACCAGAAGAAGTAGAAAGTAGTAAAACTTATTGACAAACAGAAAATCATGTAATTTCATTGTATTCGCTCAAAAATTTGCATATTATTATTTACTGAGTAATGCAAACAACGTGATCTGACGATGATAAAATTTAGAAAACATAATAAATACTTCGATCATCCACTTGGGAATAGAGTGACAAAGTTTGGGTGGAGAAAACGGATTGTTTTACTGGATTATTCAATAATGAATAGGAGCATCCAAATTTGTAAAGTAATAAAGTTTAGTCGAGAGAGTGTACTGATTTTCTAGGCCTCACGGTGCTTACGGGGGTGAATTACGACTGTAGCGATACTGTCATTCAATATTTTCCCTGGCGAGAAAAATTGCCAGCTACTAGCACGTAATGCACTACTAGCACGTAATGAAGGCATTTGGTGGTTTCAGGATCCAGATGTGGTGATAGAGTTACTACTTAAGAGAGTGGGTTTTCGTTACGTGGACGTGCGCTGTCGACAAAAGAAATTTGAATTTTACGACATAAAATCATTTCGAAGTGAGTATGACTCTACCGTCAGGACAATAATACGGAACTACAGCGAACTTTTATGGGAAATTACTCTGAGGTCGTTTTAAAAAGAAAACTTTTAGGATACGAACTATTTATTGGATTTATACAATATGGATGGTAACTCTCAGAGCAATCCCGGCAGCCGCACCTGTACTCTAAGACAATTCACTCTCTACTGCCTGTTCTGCGGTCTCCTCTAAAGTCTCTACCTCGGACCGCCTAGTCAGCGGGTCGAGGGTATCAGCATTTTAGGGTTCAGTACAGATACATAACAGAACGAACAATGAATACCATCATATATTCAATTCGATATTCAAGGGGGGTTGATTGCTTCCCGCTTCCGTAGGTTTAAACCGCGATTCCCTACAAGTGACCCCTGGGTGGTGCTAAACGGGAGCCGAATACTTAATCGGTGGTAGGACTTGTCCGACTGGCTGGCGACCACCCTCCAACTAGAGTCCGCCGCCAAATAGCCTAGCTGTGTTCCGGTGTGTGGGTTGGAGAGCAAGTTCTATTCCTTCCCTTTCCTCTTCCTTGTTGGGTGTGAGTCTTGATGATACCTGGAACATGCGGAGCAGACGTGTGTGCGAGCTTGCGGGACGTGATTGTTCGACGGGGGTATAGGGAGACCCAGTGAAACGGTTTTCGCCGCCGCCCGCCGGTCAGTAGCGGACCTGAACCCGGGTGTCACTACTAAGCTCCGCCCCGGGAAGCTGTCCCGCCAACCGGTGTAAAATTCTGTCGTGCGGTCGTCGTGCCGGAGTTGGAGACCGGAGTGGATCCCGGCGATCGTACGCAGGGTGGACTGGGGGCCCTTCCATGCCCTGCGTCGGTCTCTCACACAACCCGTGATCGACCACGCACTATGTTCCGCGCTTTATTCAGGTGTTGTCATGATTTCACTTCCAACATCCTAGCTCACCCTATCCCACTCTCCAAAAAACAAAATGAAAATAAGGAAAAGAAAAAGGGCTATATCGGCGATCCCCTATTCCACATTTAATGTGGAGCTCAGCAATGTCAGGGGCCTACATAGTAACCTTGACGCCGTACACCACCATCTTGAGATGGCGCAGCCTGCCCTACTGTTTCTGACGGAGACACAGATATCTGCTCCGGATGATACCTCTTACCTTGAATACCCCGGCTACGTATTGGAGCACAACTTCCTGCGTAAAGCTGGGGTGTGTGTATTCTTCCGGGCTGATGTCTGTTTTCGCCGTCTACGAGGCCTCGAACAACGGGACCTGTCCCTCTTGTGGCTGCGCGTAGATCACGGGGGCTGTATCCGAATCTACGCGTGCCTGTACTGGTCCCACAGCAGTGATGCAAGTTCAGCTCTGTTTGAGCTTGTACAAGAGGGGACTAACCGCGTGCTTGAGCAGTACCCATCTGCGGAGCTGGTGGTTCTTGGAGACTTTAACGCTCACCACCAAGAGTGGTTGGGGTCCAGAACTACTGACCTCCCGGGCCGGACTGCCTACGATTTCGCCTTGGCCTACGGCTTCTCCAAGCTGGTGACACAGCCCACCCGTGTCCCAGATATCGAGGGGCACGAGCCTTCTTTGTTGGACCTTCTGCTGACTACAGATCCGGCCGGATACAGTGTGGTGGTCGACGCTCCACTTGGATCGTCTGATCACTGCCTTATTCGTGCTACCGTGCCACTCTCTCGTCCTGGTCGTCAAACGACGACCGGGTATCGAAGAGTTTGGCGGTATATGTCAGCAGATTGGGATGGATTGCGTGAATTTTACGCATCCTACCCATGGGGGCGGTTCTGCTTTTCCTCTACTGATCCTGACGTCTGTGCGGACCGTCTTAAAGACGTGGTGCTTCAGGGGATGGAATTGTTTATTCCCTCCTCTGAAGTGCCCGTTGGGGGTCGCAGCAGACCCTGGTATAACAATGCCAGTAGGGATGCTGCACACCTTAGGCGGTCCGCATACGCGGCTTGGGTTGACGCCAGGAGACGTCAGGACCCTAACATCTCAGAGAAAAGGCGGAAATATAACGCCGCTTCTAGGTCCTACAAGAAGGTTATTGCCAGGGCGAAGTCGGAGCACGTTGCTAGAATTGGCGCGCGACTAAAGAGCTATCCCTCTGGGAGCCGTGCTTTTTGGTCGCTCGCCAAAGCTGCAGAAGAAAACTTTTGCAGGTCTAGTCTCCCACCACTACGCAAGTCCGATGACAGTCTGGCCCATAGTGCGAAAGAGAAGGCTGACCTTCTGATCAAACTCTTCGCCTCTAACTCGACTGTGGACGACGGGGGTGCCACACCACCGAACATCCCCCGGTGTGATAGTTCCCTGCCGGAGATCTGCTTTACACAGTGTGCAGTCAGGCGGGAACTCCGACTCCTGGACATCCATAAGTCGAGTGGGCCAGACGGCATCCCTGCAGTGGTTCTGAAAACGTGCGCCCCTGAGCTGACGCCTGCGCTAACGCGTCTGTATCGCCTGTCTTATTGCGCTAACAGGGTCCCGTCTTCATGGAAGACCGCCCACGTCCACCCTATCCCCAAGAAGGGTGACCGGTTGGATCCATCGAGCTATAGGCCTATCGCGATAACTTCTTTGCTTTCCAAGGTGATGGAGCGAATAATAAATATACAACTTCTGAAGTATCTTGAAGATCGCCAGCTGATCAGTGACCGACAGTACGGTTTCCGTCACGGTCACTCACTTGGCGATCTTCTTGTATACCTTACTCACAGGTGGGCTGAAGCCTTGGAGAGCAAGGGCGAGGCTCTTGCTGTGAGCCTTGATATCGCGAAGGCCTTCGACAGGGTCTGGCATAGGGCACTTCTGGCGAAGCTACCATCTTACGGAATCCCCAAGGGTCTCTGCAAGTGGATCGCTAGCTTTTTGGATGGGCGGAGCATCACGGTCGTTGTAGACGGTGACTGTTCTGATACCATTAACGCTGGCGTTCCACAAGGTTCGGTGCTCTCCCCCACGCTTTTAATCCTGTATATCAATGACATGCTGTATATTGATGGCATGCATTGCTATGCGGATGACAGCACGGGGGATGCGCGATATATCGGCCACCAGAGTCTCTCTCGGAGCGTGGTGCAAGAGAGACGATCGAAACTTGTGTCTGAAGTGGATAACTCTCTGGGGCGAGTCTCCAAATGGGGTGAATCGAACTTAGTTCAATTCAACCCGTTGAAGACACAGGTTTGCGCGTTCACTGCGAAGAAGGACCTCTTTGTCATGGCGCCGCAATTGGAGTATCCCTGCAACCTTCCGAGAGTATCGGGATACTTGGGGTCGACATTTCGAGCGATGTCCAGTTTCGGAGTCATTTGGAAGGCAAGGCCAAGTTGGCGTCCAAAATGCTGGGAGTCCTCAACAGAGCGAAGCGGTACTTCACGCCTGGACAAAGACTTTTGCTTTATAAAGCACAAGTCCGGCCTCGCTTGGAGTACTGCTCCCATCTCTGGGCCGGAGCTCCCAAATACTAGCTTCTTCCATTTGACTCCATACAGAGGAGGGCCGTTCGGATTGTCGATAATCCCATTCTCACGGATCGTTTGGAAGCTCTGGGTCTGCGGAGGGACTTCGGTTCCCTCTGTATTTTGTACCGTATGTTCCACGGGGAGTGCTCTGAGGAATTGTTCGAGATGATACCGGCATCTCGTTTTTACCATCGCGCCGCCCGCCACCGGAGTAGAGTTCATCCATACTACCTGGAGCCACTGCGGTCATCCACAGTGCGTTTCCAGAGGTCTTTTTTGCCACGTACCATCCGGCTATGGAATGAGCTCCCCTCCACGGTATTTCCCGAGCGCTATGACATGTCCTTCTTCAAACGAGACTTGTGGAGAGTATTAAGCGGTAGGCAGCGGCTTGGCTCTGCCCCTGGAATTGCTGAAGTCCATGGGCGACGGTAACCACTCACCATCAGGTGGGCCGTATGCTCGTCTGCCTACAAGGGCAATAATAATAATAAAAAAAAACCTCTTGCAACCTTCCCTTGCCCGATTCTAGGGCTTCCCGTGCCCAGTATTTGTGAAAATTACAATTTATGCTTGTTTGTTATTTTCTGACTCACATTGATTTTCGACTGTCGTGACCCCTGAGTGAGATTCCTCGAGATTACAGATTTAACTCGCACTATATTTACACTCCCTGTATATAGTTCTCATTAGATACCTACTATATTTATACAGAGAGTATAAATATAGTAGGTATGTAATGAGAATTCTAATGTACGAGTACATTTGGAGACCTTAATCAGGCAATTATCGTTTTGTGAAAAACTAGGAAAAGTTCTCAACAAAAACGATTTGATGCGTCCATCTCCAAGTAGAGCCAGTAGCTTGCTTGATCAATACGTAATTTTTATCCGAAAATATTATCAACTTAATTGTCATCATAATCTAGTTGTTGAATGTCTAAACCTGTTCTTTCTACCACCGGCTCCGATAAATAACCACATTCCTGATCAAAAAACCTGTGTAAATAAATAAGAATATAATATGCAACTTGACCTTTATATAAGTAATTTAGGTAAAGAACGGAGTATTAAATAAATTTACATAGGTAAAATATGGTAAAATTCGCGATAAAGCGATGTTTTTGTATTTTGTGATGTAATGTGGTGTCCTGTGTATTCACGTGCGATCACATTGAGCGGACTGTTTGTTAGTGACCTGGATAAGTGTTAATATGAAGTCGCATACATGTCTGGCAGTGATTACAAGCAGTCCCTTTAAAAACTCTTTTAGAAGCTGTTCTGTTTCTAGATCTACTAGAGGCGGTGAGTCCCTTCAAAGTAGGACAAGAGTTGCAGGAAGAATTAATCGATGACGTCATGGAAGTCGCAAAAGAAATGAGAATTATAGACACACAAAACAGCACAGCCAAACTTATATATAACCTAGTTGTTATACATTGTCGAAAATAATATAATACAATATTTTAATGTACCTAAAAGAAGACCGAATTCAACAAAATAAAATTAGAATATAACTAACTTAACTAAGCCACCATTTCAAAGCACCAGCTACAAGAAAAAAAGAGTCATCAAAACCGGTTCACACAGAAAAAGAGTACGAGATAACACGCGCATGCAACGGTAGGCAGCGGCTTGGCTCTGCCCCTAGCATTGCTGACGTCCATGAGCGACGGTGACCACTTACCATCAGGTGGGCCGTATGCTCGTCTGCCTACAATGGCAATAAAAAAAATGCAAAATACAGTCGGATTGAGAACTACCCCCTTTTTAAAGCCGACCAAAATATAAAGTTGTAATACTTTAGGTATTCATCTATTATGATAATCTAATTTACAAAACATCAATGTAACATAAGATTGTTATTGTATCGAAGCGTGTTTGTTTTTTGTTTTCGTGTTTTTCGTTTATGTATGAAGACAAAGAATGTAAATTCATTATTTTGTAGTAATGAAAGAATATATGTTCATTTTAGATATAATTATTGTGCACTTTAAGCAATAATAAATAATGAGTTTTATGAAGGTCCTGTGAGTGTACCAAAGATCGGACGCGCGACCGCACCGCCCCCCTTCAAACGCCATCCAGTTTATTTAAGCTACATTGTGCTGAATGCTGATTATAATAATAATATTTATTCAAGCCTCTTAAATTACAAATACGTACAAGAATTCTTAATACTAGTATAATAATATACATGGCTTTTTATGAGGTATACAATAACATTATTCCCTGACTTTTATGCTAGGAAAAACCTGTGTTACAAAAGTCAGTGGTTCAGTGCTAGGTCACCAGGTAAAGTAAGTTAGCCAGGAAGAGCGATCTGTAAGAATTATTGTCTCTGTAATCTGTAAGATTGTTTGACAAGAGCGATTATCGTCGTTTAAATGCCAATTACGGTTCGACATTAGCCCTGTGAACTCCAGTAACCACTGACCCGGATCTGTGTACTTAGGAAATGTTCTAGAACGACTTCCACGGTGAAGGAATTAAATCGTGTAAGAAAAATTAATCCCGCAAAAAATATTATTTACGAATTCACTCTTATGAGCCCGCACGTGTAGGTACCACTACCATAGATTATACACTTAATATTGACCACTACCTGCCTATTTTTGCCGTCGAAGTTTATAGTTATTGTATTATAAAAACAGAAAGTTTTGGTTCATGAAAATAATTTGGCTCTGTCACGCGCATGCGCGACCGAAGAAATCTAGGAGGCCATGATCCCCGGCGCCATTAACATAAATCATTGTACATTTTTACATAAAATAAAGATTTTATTATTTTATTTAGAGCCGCTTTTATTTAAGCGTCCATTTTAGGTGACCCTGATGTGATTTGAAATAATTAATAAACAAACTCATGTCTCAAGGTGATTAGCAGCATTGACCTTGTTGATGTCTATGGGCATCAGAAATTATATAGAACAGACAAGGCTGTATGGGCTTATATCCCCTTGCCTTTCCTAATAAGGAAAAATTGTACCAAAAAAAATGTCTATGGGCTCTGTAACAACTTAACACCAGGTTTTTATAGCTTAGATGGGTGGAAAAGCTCACGGCTCGGCTGGTGTTAAGTGATTACCGGAGCCCATACACATCTACAACCCACCTCGAAACATGAGTTGTAAGGTCTTAGTTTTTATAGTAGAACCGCCGCGCCCATCTACAGTGCAGACGGCTCCTACATCCTGCTCTAAAATGAAGTCCCCCCGTGGGATCTCAGCACGGACATGTCCTTGTGCGCTCGAGGTAGGCAGGGCTTGTCTTTGTCTTCGACATGGCCAGTGACCGCTTTGTTTCAATAATATCCTTAGTAGCTCTTCACGAGGTATTATTAATCAACTATCCGATGATTTGCACGCAAAGTAAATTATCGCTTCGTAACCAGGTGACCCTCTACAATACTTGTACACGCCCGGTCATGACCTGTGCAAGTGTAGTGTTCGCTCACGCGGCCCGCACTAATTTGAAAACCCTTCAAGTCATTCAATCCCGGTTTTGCAGCATAGCCATCGGCGCACCGTAGTTAATGAGGAACATTACTTTGGGAAGGCGACACGACACGAAGATCCTCATGTCGTGGCCTCCAGAAATTACATACCCGTCGACGTCGCCCTAAACACGTCATTATGGATCCTCCCGATCCATTAACGGTGCTTTTAGGTACCACAAGCACCGGTCACCGTCCTTGTCGAATCCGTCACTTGCGACGAAGGGCTCGACGAGTGAAATAACCCCAGCCAGACACAGCCCACTGAGTTTCTCGCCGGATCTTCTCAGTGGGTCGCGTTTCCGATCCGGTGGTAGCGTCCTCAGGTTAGAGCCCTGAGAGCTCACATACACGTTAGGGTTACGCTAGTAGTCTCTCAAGGCTATCGGTTAGGTAGGAAAAAAAAATATTAATCAAAGAAAAACGGCATCGCCACTGGCTTCACAGTTCATTTATTTTTATTAAATTCACTACAGCGCTATTAACATCAGCTTGTTTGTACGCTACAAGTAATTAAGCTATAAGCCTAAGCAAAGTTCAGTGCGGCAGGAATTAGTGAAGGCTCTCCGGGTCCGCGGAACTAGATTGTACAGAAGATGAAGTCATTTTGATTCCGTTTCAATTTTAGTAATTGAGACGATGACGGAGTACCTCCGCCCTGTAGGAACTGTAAATGGCGTGACGGTGACATTGAAGCTATTTTATATTGATAGTAAGCTGCTAGTTTACTGGTACCTACAGATTAAATTCATTAAGTTGTTCTAAAAGCTCAGCGAGGAGCCCGTCCGTACAATAATGATCGAGAATCTTATTTATTGATCCAATTCAGTAAAATATAAATTATGATGGGTGTTTAGTGCGGTCATAATTATTATAAATAGAATAAGTTTTGAATGCATTTATAAAACTAAAAATACTAAAGAAAGCTAAAGCTTTCTCTCTGGACACGAATACGAGTAAACGTGTAATTTTTTATTCCGAAACTAAAGTTATTAATATTGAGAATTAGATTTAATAAGACATTTTTTTAACGACTGTTGGCGCGGGACAGCAGCGCGTCTCTCCGAACGACGCGCGTCAAATCTGTGATTCAGAGTGTTACGACAGTACTGTACGTATGATGACATTATTTAACTCTCTGCCAATAAAGTTTTGAGAGAGTCAACGTTAGAGCGCATCTGTTTCTCTCTGCGCAGCGCGGTGCGGGGGGCGGGGCCGGTACAGCTTCGAGACTACCAGCTCCCTCCAGCGGCGCGGCACAGCTCGCGCAGGCGCCGCGCGTCCGCCCGCCGGCAGACGTGCGCGCGCGCCCCCGCCGTGCCCCCCGCCCCCGCCGCGCCCCCCGCCCCCGCCGCGCCCCCCGCACCCGCCGCCGACACCAGCTCGCTCCACGGGAGTGGCCATTCGTCTCTGAGGTACTGGAAGTAGATAGACGGTTTTTAGACCCAGCACACACCTACACATTATTTCGACGTTGGTACTCTTTATTTGGCTCTCGACAAACTGCCCAGACAACAATACGGTTTGGAACAGTATAAATAATGTCAAATAAGATCGACCACTACACGTGAAGCGTTTAAGACGAAGGTTCGAGAACTGTTTCTCAAAAAGTTAGCAGCGTCATCTAATTGATAATATTTGTTTATATATGTATATATTTATGATATGTATATATATGTATATGTATTTATTTAAGTACGAGTATTTGTATCTATAAATATTATGTATGTTATATATACACATATATTTCAGCAATATCACCTTCACACTACACCTACCAAGATTCATTTCTGCACTCCCCTAAGATAGACTGTTAGAGAATGTCTATGGCATTAAGTCCGCCTTTATACTTTCTAGTATATGAATCTATAAATAAATAAATAAATAAATAAATAAAAACAGTAGAAACTTAATGGGTGCGGGGTTGGGGAGATACGACAGCACGTAGCGAGGCGCCGGGTACACTCACCTGGTCGAAGGGCTGGTGCCCTATGTGGAACATGGTGTGCAGCAGCGGCGCGCGGGGGCCGGGCGGGGGCGGCGCGCCCAGCTGCTCGTACACCCAGCGCGCGTGCAGCCGCAGGTGCTCGTACACAACCTGCAGCACCACCGCGCGCCTCTGTACTGAGCTCACTTGACGTGCAGACAGATTGCATTTCAAAGATTTCATTTGACAGAAATATTTTTTGCAGTCCTGTCACAAAAGGACCCTTATACTTTTCTCGACCGTCAAAATAGTTTCAATTGATCAGTACTCGCTACCAGTACGACGCTCGCTCACGCCGGCAGATCAGTAGTTTGAATACATCGAAGGCCACGGCTCAATTGCAGAGCGGTTGTCCCCCCGGTCCCACCGCACGCACTGCTCCGCGGCACAAACACGCATTGGAGTCGCACGTGTTAGTACGTATTCCGCTACCAGGCGTATCCCTGACGCCCAGCGTGTCTCGGGCTACCACCACCCGTTGAGACGAAGTACTGTGTCTATAGTCTTTATAGTGCATCCCGCACTTTAAAATCGGTGACAAAGTAAAAAAAAAAATTTTTTTTCCTACCTAAGCTGATAGCCTTGAGAGGCTATTTCACCGTAACCTTAACTAGTAGGTGAGCTCACGGGGCTGAAGCAGGAGTGATGCTAACACTGACTCTAGCAAGAGCAGTGCTTTGCAGAATCTACCACCGGATCGGAAAAGCGACCCACTAAGAAGATCCGGCGAGAAATTCAGTGGGCTCTGTCTGTGGGTTAATTCGCTCGTCGAAGCCTGCGTCGCAAGCGACGGGTTCGACGAGGACGGTGACCGGTGCTTGTGGTGGTACCTACAAGTACCTTTAATGGATCGGGAGGATCCGTAATGACGTGTTTTGGGCGACGTCGACTGTTTACCGTTCGGTCTACAGCATCGGATATGTAAAACAATATACTGATAACAAATAAATGAAACCAAGTCATACTAGAATTACCTGTAATGTTATAAGTTGAAGCTTGAATAAGAATTATATGTGGATGGACTGTGTGACAGAGAGTACGAGACAGCAGGATGGGAGCGCAGAGATGACGTATGAGAAGTCGGAATGAAAAACGCGATCAAGAGGAAGAGGAAAGCGAATGGGGAGGGGGCAAGGCGGAGGGAAGTTATAGGGTCAAGCTAAAAGGGGATAGGAACCCGCAGACTGTCCCGGCCCGGCGCCGCCATGAGCAGCCGGTCCGTGAGCGCCGCCGCGTCGCCCCCGCGCTCCGCCCCCGCGCCCGCCACGTCCCCCTGCGCGTACGCATACGGATACTGATGGGCGGGACTACTTCAAATAATGTTTGGATTCAGGTTTTTATATTATTAATGAATTATAATTTGTGATAAATACCTACCTACATAGAACTTGAAAATTGGAAAATATTGTTTCAGAGGTCCAATCACCCACCAGTTATCACGCAAATTATAATTTGCGTAGTTGTGAGTCCAGACGGATAGGTACCACCGCCCTGTCTATTTTCTGCCGTGAAGCAGTAATGCGTTTCGGTTTGAAGGGTGGGGCAGTCGTTGAAACTATACTTGAGACCTTAGAACTTATATCTCAAGGTGGGTGGGCTCCAGTAACTACTTAACACCAGGTTGGTAGGTGTGAGCACGTCCACCCATCTAAGCAATAAAAAAGAGAGTAGAAAGACAGAGGAGGCTCGTCCTACACGCCCTCCGCGCGGGAATTGATAATTTAAATTAATAGAACTAACCTGTAACTTCAGTTGAGCGAACTCAGGGAAATCCTGTAGACCGTGTTGTTGGGACAGACGTTGTGGTCGCCGAGACTTGCTGAGCAGGCGCTGCAGCTGCGGCTCCAGCGGCCCGCGGTCCGCACCGCACAGCGCCTCGCACACGCAGCGCGCGCCCTCCGCGCTCTCTGCGGACCGCCACACTGAGCTAACCCGTCCACGCTGGACCTCAACAACCAATCGCACGGGGAAAGAAAATAACCTACATAGATAAGCAGCTAATGTATTGGTATAATTTTGTGGGTAGGATTAAACGACGAAAGGGAAGATCTTCCACCGAGCGGGTGATGTTTGCTCGGTGGACCGACGGTCCGAATGTTGTTGTTCGGAACTTGTATATATGCAAGCTTGTCTTGAAAATGTCGTAAGCGAGATTCAACCATCTGTCAAATATCTTGCGTTGTATTATGGCTACCCGCAGAATGGAAAGCAGTCGACGTCGCCCCAAGCACGTCATTTCGGATCCTCCCGATCCAATAACGGTGCTTCTAGGTACCTCAAGCACCGGTCATCGTTCTCGTCGAACCCGTCGCTTGCGACGACGGGCTCGGCGAGTAAATTAACCCTCAGACACAGCCCAGCGAGTTTCTCGCCGAATCTTCGTCTCGAAACGTGAAAAGTTACGAAGTGTCAAAAGGGACTTCGTAATTGGAATAGAGTATATACTATACCTTTTTTCCCTTTTTCCTCTTCTTTCTTAGCCCAGTTCTGTATTTCTTCGTAAGCGATCATGATCAGAACCTGCAGCAGCACCGAGTCCCCGAGCGGCGCCACGTGCGCGGGCAGCGCCGCCTGCAGCGCCTCGCACGCCAGCTGCAGCGGCGCCCCAGTGCTGTCCACGGACCGCTCCACGTACGTCAGGCAGAGCGACACCGTCTGCACAACGACACACAAGGGGACGTTCAATGTTGTGTCTAATAACTTCAATGTTTGCCATAAACCAATAATTAGCCTGTTTTATTCGACGTTACGGTACCTTCGGAAGGCGGCAATAAACACAAAATATAAGCAGACCGAGTCGAGTTTCGGAAGCGGACAGCACCGCCGGGACACCGCGCGTGGAATGGTACCTAAGAACTAATCGCAGAATTATTGTGATATCTCAAAAAATTATTCTAGTTTTCCTAATTACGGTTATTTTTCATTTTTGTTGTTGGCCTCTAGTCTTTTGAATGCCTTTTAAAGCCATTTGTACCTTAAAAACTCTGTAATCGGGAAACAAGATGAATTGTTTTTTAATAATGTGGCAGGTAGCGGTAGACCGTCGGTCTACCGAGCAAACATCACCCGCTCGGTGGAAGATCTTCCCTTTGTCGTATACCTACAACTGGTGACCCCGACGTGATTTGAACACGCAACCTTCTGATCAAAAATGACCTGCTCAAAAAAGTATTCTTACTCGAAAATATTTACCTATTAAAAGACATACAAAGTTACATATTTAATCACAAGTTACCTGGAAGAGTGAGGCGCGGGAGGCGAGGGCGCGCGCGAGCAGCGGCCCCGCCCCCCGCACCACCGCGCCCCCCGCCGCCCCCGCCACCGCGCTCAGCCACGCCGCGCGACGCTCGCTCCAGATCTATACACGAGGGTTATTGTGTTCAGACCAAAACGCGTTACTGCTTCACGGCATAGACAGGCGGGGCGGTGGTACCCAGCCCAGCGGGCTCACGAGTTGCCTTACTACCGGTAAGAGAAGCGAGGCATGCCGCCCCGAGCACATGGCTTGTTGAGGAACTTGTTGAGCAGACGAGGAGCCGCGTGTACCGGTACAACGAAACTTAGCGGCCGCCACGTCCCCGGACAGACGGGGTGCGATCCAAGATGGCGCATCGGCACGGAAAGTTGCGGCAGATCGCGGCAGATTGCTAACATTATTATTGCGATTTCCGCGATGTCATTTGAAGCTAGCTTCACCAAAATTTTTAGCTGATATTCTTTTGGTCTGTGAGTCTAGGACCGATTTTTGTAAAAAACAATCTCAATAAAACAACACGTACTTTTATGTTCACAAATTGCATAAGTAAAAACTGAGCGCTAGTGGTGCCACGGGGGCACCCAGATGAACGCGAGTGAGAGATCGCCCACCTGTCTCCGGTCCAGGCCGGCGGCCCAGTCCCTGCCGGACATCTCGAGGCCGTAGCACAGCGTGGACTTTATCTCCGCCTTGCTGCCCACGCTGACGAGGATGTAGGTGAGCGCGCCCGCCGCACGCGCGTACTCCTCGCCGTCTGGAAGCGAGGGGGGAGGGGTACACGCACGGCGGGGGGGCGCGCGGGGAGGGGGCGGGGCGCGGGGGGTACGTACCGTCGCTGTCCCCTTTAAACCTGCAGTACCCGTCGGCAGTGCAGAGGAAGCCGTCGCAGCTCTGCGGGCCGGCGCCGGTCGCGTACCACTGCGCCCGCACCGACCACTTGCTGTTGTCCGGGCTCATGTTGCGCAGAGCTCTGACCAGCAGCATGCGGGCCAGTAAGCAATCTCGCATTGTCATCACCTGGAATTAACACTTATAAGTTCTTCTCAGTGGAGAACTGATGAATTGATTGAACTGAGAAGGTATCAGCTTGCAGCCAGCGTGCTAATACCTCACTTCTATTTAACCCTTTAACTGATATGTAGGTCACCGGTGCCCTACACGGCGCACTGAAGTAATTATGTCGATTTCCGTTACTAAAGCGCCCAAGGTTTGCCTAACTTTCCCTTCTTTTGTTTGTTAATGTATGTTTTAGTCTTATGTCTCTTCGAAACAGATTCATTTTCAGTATCGTTTGAGTTCGTCTTTCCTCAGAGTCTACTAGATATTCCGGCGCCTATGTAAGAGAAGTTCAAAGAGGGATATCGACATAGTTACTTCAGTGCGCCGCGTAGGGCACCGGTGACCTACAAGGTAGTCAAAGGGTTAACTATGCTTATCAGTTCATTGCTGTCACGAAACATGCAGGTACACATCGACGTTACAAAGTATATATTTAAATAGTAATATTTCCTTAATGGTGCTCTTAGCAACACTTACGGTCAGACGAAGCCCAATCTCATACCTTTTACTATCGTTGACCGACATCTGGTATAAGCCGGTACACGATGTCCGCTTGCTTTAATTAACTGCTTTGAAGTTAACTTTACTTTAATTCAAACAGAACGAAAATGTATCTTTCTATTTTTGTAACAAAATACTGAAAATCTAAGTTGACCTTAACGATCAGCGCCCAGGAAGGTTGCGGCTGAGCCAACAGCACCATCAACTCTAAAGCCAACGCCGTCCTGCTGGGCAGCTCCGTGCCTCGGGCCGCCCCTCCGTCGTGGACGCGGTCGAAGAGCTGAGGACTCGCAAAGGTGTACCAGGGCTGCGGGCCGTCCTGTGCTGGGATCTGCGTGTGATCTTCGTTTGTCAAGGCCTGGAAATATTTATTAGTCATTACAATACAAGCTGCTCTAAGCTAAGCAAAGCAAAGACGCCTTGAAACATGAGGACGACTTCAAACTCAATGAATGTGTTCAGGGTCCAGACGTTTATCACCTAGAGACGACAAGATGGAGTGACCGGGCGGCAACTGTGACACCGACCCGGGCTTGGGACAGCTATCACGGCAGATGTAGAATGTAGGAAACGGAGAACGGCTTCGAAAGCAAGAGTAATTAGGGAAGCCAGGGTAGTAAATATTATTTAATTTACAGTCGGGCTGACAATTGCCGTGGCACACTGTTTATGTAAAACAATTTCGGACCTCTGTGCACTGAGTAACGGAAGCTTCTTAACGTGTGACAATCAAAAATACACCTGGTGTATAAAATGTAACGGGGCTCCTCTGTACACGAAGCATTTGAAGAGCTCGTTGCACTTGGCGTGCACGTCGCGCACGTGCCGCGCCCCGCCCCCCGCGCCCGCCCCCGCGCCCGCCAGCTCGCGCCCGCCCCCGCACACGGCCGGCAGCAGCTGCGCCACGCACAGCAGCGTGTTCAATATGTCGTTGAGGAGCAGTGGAGTTGTCGATGTACTCGTGTTGGTCTGCGAGAGTCCAGAGATGAATCGTCGGTGTAATATACTACGAGCACTGTCCTCTATGTGCATGGTCTCTTCAGAGGACTGGTTACGAATATCTGGAGAAGCGAACATAGTCCAGCTTGTACTGTACTTGTACTTGTACTGGGCAGTAACAATAGGGCCAAGTACTTTATGCTAGTGCGTACTTTATGCTAGGGGTGGTGGAACTGTAGAAATATTAGTATAGTTCTACAGTTCCACCACCCCAATAAAAGGACTTTTTTAGTGCCATTACCGTGGTCCGAATTTTGTAATTCATAAATGTTATATGGTTATACGTTCCTGACTATCATTAAAGACATTGCTGTTTCCAAACCAATACTATTCAGACTAAGCTTGTATTAAGCTGTGTGTTCACGGGAGCTCACGATTTTTAGTCAATTAGAAAGTTTAATTGAAGTTGCTCAGATACAGCTGGCGCTGACGCCGCCCGCGGTGGAGACATATTTACTTAGATACATTGTAATCCTCAAAACGAATACTATTTTTTTAAATATTTTAACAGTAATTACCTGGCAATACCGAACAGTTAGTATTGTAAGAGATTCATTAAGCATTCCCGCGAAAATCCTTTGCGCGACGCGAGGAGGCACCGTGTCCCACAGGTCCTGTCGACTCCCTGGCAACAATGAACGTGTGTTCGTATCTCCAAATAGTACTATTTATGTATATTTAACTTTATTTTTCAAGTGTCATTAAAAGGCCACTATAATTCATTAAGATTGGAAAATAATCTGAAAAACTTCACTCGACGCCACTCAAAACAGATCATATTTTATAACCTACAATTCACTCTTATTTATTTAATTACAAAATTCTAGACGGTTGGAGCCAATAATATAAATAAGTTATGAATGTTTTTTATTTATTTTTATTGCTTAGACGGGTGGACGAGCTCACGGCCCACCTGGTTTTAGTGGTTACCGAAGCCCATAGACATCTACAACGTAAATGCCGCCACCCACCTTGAGATATGAGTTCTAAGGTCTCAGTTTTTACAGCACAACGGCTGCCCCACCCTTCAAACCGAAACGCATTACTGCTTCACGGCAGAAATAGGCAGGATGGTGGATCCGTGTGGACTTACAAGACGTCCTTCCACCAGTATGAAACACTAAACAATCTTCATTTATAATCACAGCATGCTCTACCCCAGTACTACGAGTAATGTGCAACTCGCCATTCATGTAGAGCCACCAGCCCTGCACAGAGGGCGCGCCTCCCCCCGCGCCCCCGCGCCCCCCCGCGTCCTGCAGCACGTACAGGGACAGCACCCTGCAGTGCAGGTCCAGCACGCGCTCGGCGACCGCCTCGGACATGGCCACGTAGCGCTTGTAGCACGCCTGGGAACATCACCATACTTCCAACTACTTTACTGGTGGTAGGACCTCTTGTGAGTCCGCACGGGTAGGTACCACCACCCTGCCTATTTCTGCCGTGAAGCAGTAATGCGTTTCGGTTTAAAGGGCGGGGTAGCCGTTGTAACTATACCGAGAACTTAGAACTTATATATCAGGGTGGGTGGCGCATTTACGTTGTAGATGTCTATGGGCTCCAGTAACCACTTAACACCAGGTGGGCCGTGAGCTCGTCCAACCACCTAAGCAATAAAAAAATATGTATACTAAACAAATCGTCAGATAATCGATTCGTTTGTACCAGCACCGCTCACGTGACGCGTCGAAAGACAACGTACTGTCGTGCTGCAATACAATTAGTAATTTAGAAGTGGTACGTATGCAGCTTGGATGTGCCCTCGGCATTGCTGAAGTCCTTGGGTGACGATAAACACTCACCGTCAGGTGGGCCGTATACTCATCTGCCTACAAGGCCGATAAAAAAAAAGATTGTGTGGTTTTATGAAACCACGGTAAAAGTGAAATTTTTTTCACATATAGACATTTAACTAAAAATTTTTGGAATAATATTCCATTAAGGGTATAAAAATCGTTTTATCAATCTTTAATTTATGCTTGGAAAATTGGAATGATAATGGGAAAGGATAAAAGTAGACTAAGTCTCCAACTTATATTTTTATTGAACCCGCCGCCATATTGGCCTTGGCTGCTCTGACGAGCGCCTTTCACTTTATCCCTACTCCGCGGCCGACCGTCACGCGACATGCAACACACAGACGAAAAAGTATGAGACGATGTATGAGACGATAAAATTTTCACATTAAAAGCTATCAGAGAACAAATCACTGATGAGTCACACACGTGATGTGATGATAACCGGCTATAGCCGCAACTGCAAGAACTGCAACCCTAGCCCCCTAGCGTCACGCCACACTTGAGGTATGACGAGGTCGAGGTCTCAATTACATATATTGAATCATATTTGCCAAATCACGTCACAATGTGCAACAAAAAACTAACTAAATTTTAAAATACACAACCAATAAATGAAAACGTGTATACCAGCCTAGACCACGTACACAGCAAACTGTTTGAAATATTGAAAAGAATAATGTGGAAATAATAAACGCGGGATTAAACAGTTAAAGTGCTTTTGGTGTCCGAAGCGCGAAAACCGAAGAGAATACTGTAACTTAACATACTTGCAATATAGAGAATCTTTCAGCGTTGCCAGAGTCTTCCACGTGCTGTAAGTAGCAATACAGACTGTTTTTAAGCAGTGCTGCAGCTCCCAGGGTGGCGGTCAGCACCGGGAGGTCGGCGTGGTCCAGTGCCTCTTGCACCAACATGTGGAGATGCTCTAGAGGCGGAAAACATACACAGATTAATAATAATAATATGAAATTGTAAATTTTACCCTTTATGGTTTGAGAAATAGATTTTTGAACGAGCCAAGTAAATTGTTTTTTTTTAACTTAGATGTGTGGACGAGCTCACAGCCCACCTGGTGTTAAGTGGTTACTGGAGCCCATAGACATCCACAACGTAAATGCGCCACCCACCTTGAGATATAAGTTCAAAGGTCTCAAGTAGTTACAACGGCTGCTGCACCCTTCAAACCGAAACGCATTACTGCTTCACGGCAGAGATAGGCAGGGTGGTGGTACCCACCCGCGCGGGCTCACAAGAGGTCCTACCACCAGTAAAATGTAGCTACCGATACAAAAGTGGAAGATTAGTTATAACTCCAAGCAATAATTTGGTATTTGTTATTAGTGGTGAATTAAATACAAAGGGTTTTTAGTATTTTTTTTGTATACATATTCAATACGTAATCAACAATCGCTTCCGTTTTAACATTGCTAATGTCCACGGGCTCACAGTTCATGTTATTGTAAGTGCTTACCAAAGCCTAGACTGTCACTGTAGCCAAATGTCTTAAACGGGAATGTATTACTGATTTGCGGCAAAAAAAGGTGTTTTTTTATTGCCCTTGTTGGCAGTCGAGCACACGGCCCACCTGTTGGTGAGTGGTTACCGTCGCTCATAGTCTTCAGCAATGCCAGGGACAGAGCCAAGCTGCTGCCTATCGTTAAGTACTCTCCACAAGCCTCGTTTGGAGAAGGACATGTCGTAGCGCTCGGGAAACACCGTGGAGGGGAGCTCATTCCAAAACCGGATGGTACGTGGCAAAAAATATCTCTGGAAATGCACTGTGGATGACCGCAGTGGCTACAGGTAGTATGGATGAACTCTGCTCCGGTGGCGGGCGGTGTGATGGTAAAAACGAGACGATGGAATCATTCAAACAATTCCTCAGAGCATATGTATTGTTTTATTACATTTGAAGCCAAACGACCCACCCGATGGTGAGTGGTCCCGCTTACAGAGGACAGTAAGGCCAGGGACGCAACCAAACGGCTGCCTACACCAGAGTGGGTTCAAAATATGATTAACAGTAAATACGCAATTTAAAATCTGCAGAATTCTAGGGATGTTGAAAAAGTGTGAAAGGTCTTCTAACAAAAACTTTTTCCCTAGAGGTCCGATATATTTGAGGTTTCATGTATTCTAATGCATAATTATTACATACGTAACATGACATATATTTACAACCATCATCGTTGGCGACCTGCTGCCAAAGTACTTGTCTTATTTATTTCAACGACATGCGATGAAGCGGCTGGCACACTGCGTGCGGACGTGTGCACGATTCCAAATAGAACTTTCCAGACAAAGCATTAATACAACATTAAGCTTGCTCGTAAAACTCAGAGCCGCGACTAGCTTTTTGTAACGCCATTTTATTATCGTACCGCTGTTATAGGTCATAAAATATGAACATACTTAAATCATCCGGTGCGTACAATGGGCGCTTAAAGATAAGTATCCAAATAAATGTGGGCGCTATTCTCTTATGGAATAAAAACAGATACCTACTCTAAGGCTTTGGTAACTTTTAGTATTTAGTATGCACGTAACGTTATTTGATACGTAACATGAAAGTCCGCTTTATTAAAACTTTTTTTTACACCTTCGAGATCAATTTGCAAATTAAGAGAAAACTGTTTCGAAGTGTTCAATGTCATTTCTGTTCTCATTTCCCGCTCCGGGCCGTTACCTAACAGCGCGTCACTCGACTTGACGGTCAACTGTACGAATTTATCCGGATCAGAAGTCTTCGCCACTCCGCCTTCTAGTTTCTCTTCTTCTTCTTCGGTGTTCACGAACATTCCAGAACCTTGTCTGAAGACACATTAGAACTATCATTAACAGCTGTCTACTGATAAGAGCACTTAAAGCTCAATAGTTCTTTCTGAAAAGGAGTCTATCCTAAATACTAATGAAAGCTGCATCAAATTTCGTTATTTCAAGAAATAATTATTAAGATATCCAAAGACCTTCCAATAATCATAAGAATTTTAATTCCTATTTTGTATTTGTACTCCTTCTATAGGAGTGAACCAGTTCACGGCTTATCTGGTGTTAAGTGGTTTCCGGATCTCAGAAACGTGAATGCCACCAATCTTGAGATGTGAGGTCAATCGCAAGTTTATTGTTTGTATACAGTTCCTACCCTTGTAAGTAGAACGCATGGCTGAGCGGGACTATGGTACCTAGCTATGTAGGCTCAGCAACGTTCAGTTTAAATAAAATTTATCCCTGTTCCACTATAGAACCATTTCTAAATAAATAGTTGAAAAGATACAATTACTTGAAAGCAATCGAAAACTCCTCTTCAAGCCATAGCACTATTTTGACAGCAGCGAAAGAAGCGTTCCTAGGGAAATCGAGTCTACCACCGACTACACTGCGGCAGATTGTCTCCGACAAAACTGTTTGGTTTTTCTGAAAACACCCAAATAAATAAAATATCGGCACCTGAAGTTTAAGGATCAATTGCATTTATCCTACTTGCTATTGCAAAACATGGTTTCTCAGTTTTTAAGCAAAATTTTTAGTATCATGCTTTTATTAATTAACGACATTTTATCCTAATATGTATAACTATATATGTATATGTTGACAAATAATTGACTTCTTAAACAAAGACATATTTACTTCTTCTTTTTAATTATACAGAAATTATTTTAAGATACCATAATTCAATACTAATTTTTTTCGAAATTTAATACTTAGTTATAAGCAGCAAGCTGCAGCTTGACTAACATTAATCTAAATAAATTTTGAACCAATTTTGAAATCAGATAAAAAGTTGTCAAGCTAAGCCTGTTGATGTAGTCATTAATTTAGTATTTTATATGTATTATATATAAATAAGACATTTACCCATTTAAGTAGTATTTAGTACATAACAATTGAGTTAGCTTTTTATTATGAATTTTATGTTATTATTAATGTGAATAAAAACTCTGGATAAACAAACCTGATAATACTCCAAATCTCTTTGCAACAAAATTGGGATCCTATCAATAATATTTCCATCCTCAATAACTTCCATTATCAAATAAAATAAAAAATCAATAATAAAAAAAACAACTGTATATTTAAAATAAAATAAAAACTGAAATCAAACCATATCTAAGGAGATTGCCTCAGTTACTGTTTGAAACTAAAGCAAAGCTTATGCTAAAGTACACACACTATGTTCTTATTTCTTATGAACTTTAAACTAAGCTGTGTGAGCACTTCGATAAATCAACTTTATCTTTAACTATCACTGATATTTCTTGTTGCAGGAGTTTGTGGAGTGTGACTCCATCGTGTTTGTAGATCCAGTAGCCTCTTCCCTCGAGAACTAAGTCATAGCGCTTTGGTCCAGACGTGGGGGAGCTCAACCAAATCTGTTTATTTGGTATCTGCCGGTTTATCACATATGTCCCGTACTTTCCTAATGATATGGTTAATACGCCATCCTGAAACATGGATTATTTTATTTCTAAGAAAGAATTAAGAGGCAGAAATGTTTAGGGCTTTTATATTATTACTCATCTACAGTCTGGGTTTGTCTTTAAAACAGTCACATTAAACATAACAAACATATCTTACAACAAAATGTGTTGTTGGGATGTCATTTTGCCTCTTATTGCTTTTTGCTCTAGAGTAGTAGACAAGTTAACATTCAATCTAGTTATTAAATGTTAATGAAATCCCACAAAATACTAGCAGTTACATTCCTTGAGATGTAGACCCACTGCGTGAATCCACAGTGCGTTTCCAGAGATCTTTTTTGCCAGGCACCATCCAGCTTTAGAATGAGCTCCACTTCACAGTGTTTCCCAGGCCCTATGACATGTCCTTCTTCAAACGAGACTTGTGGAGAGTACTTAACGGTAGGCAGTGGCTTGGCTCTGCCCCTGGCATTGCTGACGTCCATGAGCGATGGTAACCCCTCACCATCAGGTGAGCCACATGCCTATCTGCATACAAAAAAGTCGATGTCTCAACGCTATCAGAATTGCTACTGTTCTACCCTTCTAACCAGAAAAGAAGACCATAAAAAATATAGGCAGACTTTATCAGCTTTTAATATTTAATATTAATTAAACTGTTTTAACAGTATAGTATTGTATTTAACTAGTTTATTTTACTTTACTCTTTATGTTTCAAATACCTTAATCTTTGTGCGCACAGAAAATTACATGTAATAAGAAAATAAGGTTACTCTTTTAAATTATTTACCGTTAATATGGTGTAGTAGCATTCCTCTTTGAAAAGAATATTTTAAGTTACAATTGGAATTTAGGAAGAGTGAAATATTAAATTTTATGTTAACTTAAACATTTGTTTCATTCAATCCCACCTTTTATTATTGGATTGTTTCTTTCACAACTAAAGTTTTTGCAAAACGTTTTATAATGTCCACTTTAAAGAAATTATTAAATAAGAAGTGATTAAGTATGTAGTACCTACCCACATTGAAAATTTAACTTACGCTGTATGTTACGTCAGCCCCTTTCAAATTCGGTGCATCTTCGATTAACTGCTCAAAAAAATCACACAGCGACTCTAAGGTCTCGTTGCAAACCTCTTCAAATACTAGAGGTTCCTCTTCATTGCGGATATTATCAGATAATCTTCGGTTATTAAAACCACAACTAACATTCAGTCTGCAGTCTTTTAGTATACTACTGCATTTTCGTATCGCGATAGGGGCGAGACTATTGATCTGCGGCCGCACCAGCCACCGGCTGGTACGTATTATATTCCTAATCATTTCGCTAAATTCTACCCCGTAATATTATTTTGATTCGCATTCTTCAGGAGGTTAAAGTTTGTTGACATAATATTGTCAATGTGACGTCTCGTTTGTCATTGTCAGCCTTGACTTTTTGTATCATTCGCAAAGGGAAACTTCTAATAGTATACTCAATTTAACTATTCAAAATCGTTGCCTTTTAGATATTATTTTGATCGATATGATTTTGCACTTCAAAAAAGACGATAAAATATTGCAATGGTTGAAATTTTAGGCAAATCTTTGTTCTGCTCTTAATACACATTAAGGCATATATATTTAGGGTATTTCGAACAATCAAAAGACACTAATATGCATGAAAATTATTCCATAATTCTTGTAAAGTCAATAACCTATAAAAACAAACAAAAGCGTCATGTATCTTTTGATTTATTGCCTTTGCATGTTTAGATGAACATGCTGATACAGCACCTAATTTATTTCATTCTAAAGAGTGTGTATCAAGAGTATATATATATATATCAATAATATGTATGTGTGATTAAAATTATAAATATAGTTTTCTTTATTCTTTATGATTAGATGATTGAACGAGCTCACTGCCTAGCTTTGATAATTAGCCTAAGAGTTCCATATGGACTCGACTTTTCGGGTAGGGTGCCAAACCTCATACGAGGTGTCTGCCCCTAGGGGATGCGTGGGGCATGTGGGATTTCACGGTCTGCAAATTTTAGGAGTAGACCATGGGACCAAGGATATTTATGGGGCCCTATCCACCAAACGGCCTCCCTGGAACTCTCTCACCCGACGTCCGATCTATATAGGGGTTCAAAACTCGGACAGAGTAGAAGGGGTAGAGATGATAGTCGACGACACTATGTCTCCGTTCCGGTGCGGCAGTCATTCAGGCCACATCAGGGGTAGACGCTGGTGTCCCGACATACCCCGCTGAACCAGAATGTTACAGCATGCACTACCGTCAGATTTGGCGAATGTAGTATGCCACCGGACGACACTTCTGCAATAAATATTTAAATTAAAATATATTTTGTGAACTTTGAGTTGTTAGATAATCGAATTACGCAACCGAAATATAACTTCCTATTTTGGAAAAAAATCTTTATCGCTATGATGAGTGGACGAGCTCACGGCCCACCTGGTGTTAAGTGTTTACCGGGGCTCATAGACACTTACAACGTAAATGCCGTGACCCACCTCGAGACATGAGATTGTCTCCGTTTTTACAGGGCACTGGCTGCCCCACCCTTCAAACCGAAACGCAGTTTGCTGCACGGCAGAAACAGGCAGGGCGGTGGTACCCGTGTTTACTCACAACTACTCACGCTACTTTGCCCTGTCACCAGTACCTTAACGTATTTGCGTTATTACCTTTAGCGTCTCCGATTATAGCTGCCATTTTCCTTTATTTCGTATGTAATTGCGCGCCCGACATCCAGTTCTTGTTTTTTTGTCGTCTTCATAGGTACAAAAGAAACATATACATATGGCTTAGATTAGGTTGCAATACAAGTACATAGCGCCAGCAACTACAGCTTTTCTTCACATTCTTCAGATTCTTCTGGTAGCATATAGGCATTTTGTGGTGGAAGCAAACTTAAATTGTTTTCATAGGCAGGTGAAAGAGCTGATATTGAAGGTTCAGGTACCCTCGGTAGCGGCAGTAGAGTATTGTACAAGCTCCAGTGTGAATTCACAAAAAAAACGTGTCTGTTTTCGTTTTGTTGGAGTGGCCTGAAATTACGGAGATTAGGTTCGTCCCACGGGTCCCAGAGCTGACGGAATTCGTTCATCTGTAAATAAAATATTTCAAATGAGGATTTAAAGAAACCTTACCAATACTTGAGAATAGTATGCTGTCTCTTAAATTTAAACAAGTTTGTTTGATTAAAAACTCGAAATAAAAAATATTACTTAAATAATTAAACTAAGATTTTTTAACTAATCACCAAAAAATGACAGAAAATACGCCCCAATGTCAGTATTGATTTAATACACCTTTGCCATTGAGTATTACTTATTGTGAGTAAAAAACCCATGACAACCACAAAAAATAAATAGTTTTCATGCGTGAGATTGTCCTTTGTTCACGCTAAAAATGTTTGTGAGCAAGATTAATAATAGTATGTTATATCAGGGTACTATTACCTGATCAAACGAAGCAAACAAGCAAGCCCTCGGCACCAGCCAGCGGACCACAAAGCTGTCCCCCTTGACAGTTCTCAGCTCGCCCCAATACAAAAAGTAATCTTCGTAAAACATTGGCAGTAGGTGTGACAGTGGCTCCGGACCTATGCGGGTACTCGTCTTAGCTTCCTGAATCCTTGAGAATCCTTCAACTACCCAGCTTAAATGTTTGTCAGGATTCACTCCGTACTGAAATTTGTGGTTTAGCAAAAATATTTACCCATGGCATTATGGGTGGCGGGTCCAGTTCCAGAGGGTAGGAACACAGGTGGACGGACGTGCTCACGGCCTATCTTGTTTTGCAAGGATTACAGACATTAACTACTTAACTTCCACCAACCGTGGGTCAAAACCATTTTACCGCGAACTACTTTTAAGGCTCGAATACGAAGATGTGGTACTAAGCTCTGGGAAGCCATCGTTGTTGAGGGCACAACTAACAAGATGCTTATTGTTTGGCCTTTATATTTTAGCTGCCAAATGAAATGGAAACGGCAATACGCATGGCCTCCTTTGTTTGTGCTGGTTACCTATTATTACATTTTGCTTTGGGTTACATTTTATGACTGACCACGCAGATAATATCAATGATCCTTGCGATCTTGAAATGGTCGAAATAAGCCTTTTCTTTCGATACTAATGCCCTGAGGAAAACTGCTGAGTCCGAGCATCACCTCTAAGTGAGTGAACAGATTGAAAGTCAATCAGACCAAATGAGCATATAATTTGTACAACCAGCATCCTATTTTTTATGAATTGAGGAGATAGTACGGCCATTCGACCTAGTAGATAGATACTAACCAACCTTTATCAAATAGCATATCATTACAACTCCGTCGGGGTGACGCAGAGCTTCCTCCTGCGTCATGTACTCAGATCGGAAGAACGTTACCTGTTCGTTTAATAAATTATTCTTTTAGAACTAAAACAGAAATCTAATGAATAAAATTTATGTGAGATAATTATAATAATAGTCATTCAGTACAGTTCAGTTCACCAAACCAGTCTAATGGTATCGTGTTGATTTACGACCATCACAAAAGGCAATTATTATTACTAGCTACTTGATGATACATAATAATATGTTAGAAGTTTGACTAGTTGGAAAAAAAGGGTACCTGTACTTATATATACGTGCGTAAGAAGTTATACTTTATTTTTATAAAATTTATTTCTTTTTTTTAAATATTAAATAATTAATAATAAATATTTAAAGTTAATAATTTAATAATATTTAGTATGAATTATATTAAATAATAATTTTGTCATTTATATTACTAAAAAATGAATGCTAATAACACTTTTTTTACGAGTGTACATGCGCGAAAGTTCACCTGCGGCTATATTCAGACTCGCCAAGCTACGTCGGTCGTATTGTAATGGGCGATTTAGTGGGCAACTTCATTCTGTTAATTTTGTGTCACGGTGCGCGCGCAACGTAAAATTTCACTCTCATCAATTTTTCATAACGCGCCTAAAGAAGTATAACTTCAAAATATTTCTTTCCAAATACTGGTTATAGGACCTCTTGCGAGTCCACACGGGTAGGTACCACTACCCTGCCTATTTCTGCCGTGAAGCAGTAATCCGTTTCGGTTTGAAGGGTGGGGCAGCCCTTGTAACTATACTGAGACCTTAGAACTTACATCTCAAGGTTGGTGGCGCATTTACGTTATAGATGTCAATGGGCTCCAGTAACCATTTAACACCAGATGGGCCGTGAGCTAGTCCACACAACTAAGCAATAAATAAAAACTCAAATGTGCACTGATGTTTACTTTGTTGTCAGCGGATGTTGCTGCTGAAATTGTGTGTTTCAAATTTATATTTTTTGTTTAACTACTAATACGTCTGTTTTATTTCATACTTATGTGCGTCCTAAAGAATGATTCACCTGCATTTCACCAGGATACCTTCTATCGTCGACTGTGTGGTCACTGCCCTCCATCATGTCAGCTCCCCAGTGGAAATGAATTTGCGAAAAGATGTGCTTGTCTTGGAACGGTCCACCTTCTAAGTACGGTCGCTCTGCTTTCCATTTCGCTCCAATGAGGACTGCGAATTTATATATGTTTTTGTGTGTTTGGCAGGGTAAATTTTAGACTTCTATTTTTGGGTTCTTCAAGAGAACAGTATAAAGCAAAGAGAGAATATAAGCAATCCGGCGTAGGCGAATTGCCAGCCACTTGAGCTTAACGCGAAACTCTGAGACGTGATCATATTTTCGTAAGCCAAATATAAATCTAATATTAATAAATAAAGCTGCTTAATGAACTAAGGAGATCTGCGAAAGCTTAATAATTGAGTTGGTAAAGTTGGTTGGTTTTATATTATTAATAGATCATTACAGTTTTGGTGTTTCTCTGCTGAATATTCGGGATATGGTACCATTTTAAACCTTTTCTACAATGATTAAGTGAGTTTTATTCGGCTGTTTTGTGACTCCCAATCGGAGGAACTCATCTTGTGATGCGCTTGCTCGTAGCTTTACAGGCGTGTTAATTGAGTTTAAATTAATATTTTTATTAGCTAAATTATATAATAGCTTTATAGGATCGACCAAGCTGTATCTAATCAGCATAGTGACATCAGAACAACTTGTTTAATACACTTTTTTTATAGCTTAAATGGGTGAACAAGCTCACGGCTCATCTGGTGTTAAGTGGTTACCGGAGCCCAGACATCTGCTATTTAAATGTCGCCACTCACCTTGAAATATGAGTTCTAAGATCTCAGTGCAGCACAACGACTGCCCCACCCTTCAAACCGAAACGCATTGATGCTTCACGGCAGAAATAGGCAGGGTGGTGGTACCTACCCGTGTGGACTCACAAAAGTCCTACCACCAGTAATTACGAAAATTATATTGTCTCGGATTTAATTTCTATTACGCGCTGCTATTCCTTCACCGTGGACGTCAGTCGTGAACATTTGTTGCGTACGTATTTTGTTAGAAAAATTGGTACCCGCCTGCGGGATTCGAACACCGGTGCATCGCTAGATACGTATGCACCGGACGTCTTATCTTTTAGACCACGACGACTCAATGATAAATGAAACCTTTTTTTGCTAAAACCAATATTTACTGAAGATGCATCCTTTCACAAGTGGGAACGAGAAGGGGACCGAGAGAGGACAGACAGACCGTGTGTACACGTTTGAAGTTATGGCAATCATTGTAGTTGCGTTGTGCGTTTATGATGTTGTTCTTGTGTTTACTTTAGGACTACGTTGGCCGACAAGCAAGCCATATTAAATTCCTCGACACTATAAACATCTAAATATTACAAGCAAGTTTCCAACCGTAATTATTGCGAGCGCTCGTTTGCATGCGAAGCGCTCGGGGCACGAGCTGAACAATTTTGTATTGCGCATATGTCGTACATAAGCAAACAAGCTTTCATAAGTAAAACAAACGCCACACACGAACGCCACAAAATTAATTACTTAGCGCCGCTCAAGCTCAACCTCCAAGCGTGCTTGTCGCGGTTGTGCTGATTCTGCTCTTAACAGGAATTTTGTACCAATTCTAACGCTTTACTTTTAAATAAGTAGGAATAAGTTCTGCGCGAGTAGGTATCTATTCACTATTATGGTAAATTTAATGTCAAATTATTTTTAAACAGTAACAGTTACAGACCTGTGGCCACACGTTTGAAAGACTGGTGTAATAAACAGTTGGAACCACAAAATAAGTTCAGAATAATTTGTTATTTACTTTCAATCAACAAGCTCGTGTTACCCCCTTATGGGGGCGCGGAACGGGCCTAGGGGCGAGCCCCTCTACCCGGGGGTGATCTCCCTGCCACGCTGAGCACGGGGTGAGGTGCGTGAAATAGCCACATCGACAGATAAATATACATAATAATGAGTGAGGCTTGATTGGATCAGTTGTGTGTTGCACGGAGCCAGGAGGAGGAGAGGTCCTTTTTTTTTCATTACAGCTCAAACTAAAAATTAACTACAACTCACTATTTATTATAACAACAGTCGAAAGCACGAGGTGGAACCCGCCACCATGGGGCCCCATCTCTGCAAGTTAGAGGAGAGTTTGCGGCACATTATTGGTGCTCATCCGCCCTGGACTCCCTTTTCTGGGCAAGCCGGAGCGGGAAGGAACCGAATATACTCTACGAAAATGTGAGTGGGCCACCCAAGGGGGTAAAGAGAGGGTAGGGTCATTCCCTTCAACGGTGTGGGGGGAACGACAGCTCGTCCCACGAGGGCACTCATTATGAGCGCTCCTATACCACTCCGGTTGGACTAAACATCACTCCATAGCGGGGGTCCAGAAGCTCCCTCCATAACGCCGCACCATAAAGCGGTCTTGCGTGCAAGGGATCTATGTTGTGGAGGTGCTTATGGGTCCAGCGTCGACTCGCTCATACATAGCAAGAGCTAGCCTCTGATATTTACTGATATGACTTTATATAAAAGGTTTACTTTAAAAAATGAAATAAGTACCTGTATATCCAGTGTTTGAAAGCTTAACCTTATGGGGGAAAACATCAAAGTTGTACCATTTTAATTCAGGGCATGTATATGGTATGGAGCCAGTTATGGAAACATTGATGGGGGTTGGGAGGAGACCTTCGAAGTCACTCCAGTAGTATATCCATTGTAACGTGCCATAGAGAGGGACTTTTTCTGCTTCTTCGTTTGGTGTTTCTTTCACCTCATCTAGAAGTAGCATCTTCAGTTAATATTTTGTGAATTCGATAAAAAGTCGTTTCGTTTATAGTGGGCCGCACTGTACACATGTGCATGTTTTCTTTGCCTTTACGATCATTATACAAGGTAGAGAGAGGTACTTTATTACGAAATCAAATTAATACGTTCCTTTGATATAGAATATCGATGTCGTTATCGTCTTACTTCGAGATTGTGTTAATAAATCAAAAAGTTTACATTATTACGAGTATTCAAACAGGCGTCTACGGGCGCTTTCAAATCGTTATGCCTTTATTACAGAATTTACGCACAAAATTTACAAAATATTGAACTTGGGCAAATATATTTAGTATATATCTATCGGTAGAGTACCGTGAGGCGGGAAAAGTCTATTTTCACACAACGATACAATAATGTTATGGAACTTCGAGAACACATTTTTATCTATTTAAGATGTTAAAGAAATCGTGTGTTGTGGCAAAATGCATTTAGCATTTGACCAAAGTGCGGTCGTCAGTCGCAGAGAAAGCTTTTCGTGGATGACGAGGACGAAGACGACGAAAGCCTAACACCAGGTGCTATTTTTTAAATATAAATATATCATTTGAAGGAATTTGAAGGAATGGATAATTAAAACGTTGTTTACCCGTTTTCGGTTCGGTGATTTTCATTTTATTACTTTAAGCGTTAACACTAAAATTTAGATTTTCGAAAACCAAACAGATATTACTTTTATAGGATTTTTTTTTTTTTATATTGTCCTCATAATGTCAAAATGACAACAATATACCACATAGATTATGTAACGTCATAGTTTCTGGACGAAAGATACGAAACGTACATCATCGATGTCTCATATATGTATGTTTGTATGTATGTAAAATGTTCGTTTGCGGAAGACGTGGCCTATACGAGTTCCTGTCCTGTACACAATTGGTCGCCAGCTCTTCGGGCGAGCAGCGTGGCGTGGCCTGTGCCGATTGATGTTGGTTGATCTAGATACTCCAAGAAGAATGCCGAGAGCAATCTAAATTCGTTCTCTTCCGCCTGATATAGAACAGTATCTCATGATTACAGTTACATTAGTATCGCGACTATAATAATAATAATAAAACATTTATTTCAGAAAAAATCCATATAAACTATAGCAAACTAAAAACATTCATTAGATGCCAATGTTAGATAAAAGAAAACGCACAGGAGAATGTGAGTCGAGGAAAGAACATTCGCATAGTTCGATCTAGTTCAATCTGAGTTTCCGTATCTACGGCCTCATGATGATTTGATATGAACCAAGCTGAAATGTATTGGTGTTTCAATTGTTTGGGCCTTGCCAGATGCAGCTTCCTTGAGCAATAAATTTTGAAAGCGAGTCCACTCTGCACGGTAAGCGAGATGCCTTTTGCTTTCACTTCAAACGCTTAGCAATACATAGCTAAGCGTAATTAATTCATTCCTCTATCTCTTTGTTTTGAGTTTTTTTTTATTAATTCATAAAAAACTTCAATAAAACTTTTACCACCGTGTTCAAAGATAATGTAATAGATGCTTTTTCTTATAATCAATCAGTCACAATCTAAACAAAAAATTGACATTGTAAATGTCATTACAGTACATGCTTAGAGATAATACATATAATTGCTTATTATAAATAGAAGAAAAATGAAGAGCATTAAAACTATAAAAGAATTTGAAGAAGAATTAAAACCGGATCCCGAATTACTTTTGTGGGAGAAATGGATACAGGTACGAAAAGAAGAAGCAATGAAAATATCCAAAAAAGTTAAAAGGCCACAAATAGATTTAACAATGAACTTAGTAGAAAAAGTTAGAGAGGAACGAGAGCGTAAAATAGCATTAGAACATGCACAGATAGATAAGAAGCCATCTTTGAGAGGAAGTCTTTGGGAGCAGCCACTAAGGTTACACCAGACATGTGAGTGTGGGCCCATTTATGAAGTCCAAAGAACTGCAGCAGAAGTTGGTCGTCCTCATATTGTAAAACACATTGGTGTACCGCGTCAAATACAAGAGGAGGAAAAAGGTTTAAAAGGGGTCTCGGAAAGAAATAAATGCAAGAAACTGGATGCAGATTACCAAAGATATAGAGAAAAAAAAGAATTCCTTTTAAAAGATAAATTAAAGAAAATAGATCCCTATAGGTACGGTTTACACATATTTATTCATTATTTATTTATTCCAGCTTTTCGAATTCGAGATCGCCTCACTAGTTTCGTGGTCAGTGATGCTATCTACATACTATGGGGTCCTGGCTCGATTGCCGGTTGGATTCACAATTTCATTGACAAAGATTAAGTACTCGAGGTACAGGCACAGGCAAGGTACAGGTTTCGTGTCAAACAAAATTTAAATTTCCAGTCTGGGGCTGTTGAATCTGGACCCTTTTATTAATCATAGGACCAGAATGAGAATAATATAGGTATCTGCGAGAGTCATGAATCCCGTGATTCGCTATTTTACGGTTAATAGCGACCTACAGCTACCACAAGCGACTGTTATATTTTACCCATTGCCAATACCCAGCAGCCGTCAGTATAAAATTATTATTTTAACTACTTAAAACACTATATATTCTGACAGGTAATAAAATCAGTTAGGACTATGTGTTTTTGCCTTAGTTAGCTGTCAACAAGCTCTATCATTTTTTCTTTCTCCATTTACTGTTTACAATCCATAACAATACAACAGTTTTAAAAAAACTCATTTTTTAACTAACAATGTTGTACACTTGCTTCAGGTTAGCTATGAGGTTTTCATTTTCTTTCTTTTCCTCTCTTCCTGCCTTTCAATCGAGCTATCATAGAACAAAATATCTTTGGCGAATGCCGTTAACAGCACTTTTGAGATAAGTTTATGTTTATAAAAGTTTTGAACATTATGACATTTGAACATTCGAACCATTGGTCTATCGACCAATTTCACCTAATCGGTGGAAGATTTTCCCTTCATCGTTACCTCTAAAAAATTATCAGCCCTGCCACTATTTCAGCTACTGCATATGTACGATTTGTGATACTTTAATATCGTAGTACCTTTTCAAAATATAAATGTAACTAAAACCCTTTCCAATATAGAAATGTAGCTAATGTAAATTCTCCGGAATTTTTTTCAGGCCAGAAATAGACGGTTTGTTAGTCATTGGTAAGAAACCTAAATCTCCTCCACCTAGAAAACCTAATATACCTTCCATAAAAGTAACATCATCCGCTAGTCGCTTAGAAGACTTTTCAAACATCTACGCGGTTCGAATTAACAATACAATAATATACAAGGATCTTCCTGAACAATGCGTGGATCATTTCACAAAAATGCGGAGTGAGTGTTGGCACGAGGATCGAACTTCTTGGAGTTATTACTTTAATGCGCCAGCCAACATTGCCAGTAGAACTAGTTTGATGCTTGAGAACCTTGGGACAATCTCCTTGAGATATTGTTGGAAGAAAATAAAAAAGACCATACCATTTATACCCGAAGATTATTATGAACAAGTTTACTTCTTCAATAAAAACGAAAATGTTCTACATCCAGGGCAAAAAATAAACATTAACTTTACGTTTTTATCTAAAAAACCTGGAGTTTTTAGTGAATTTTGGGAACTCAACTTTTGTAATATATGTTTCTTTGATACACTAGCTCATAAATTTACCTTAAATTTGTACGCTGATGCTGTTGAAGATATCGAAGAAATACTGCAAAAGGCTGGTTCCATAAAAAAATACATTACAGATCAAGTTTTAATTGATTATATTCGCAAGATATTACAAGAAATACTCATAAAATCTACGGAAGAACAATCATTGAAGTATCCTTATAAAGACAAGTTATTGGAGGCGGATTTGTTTGTGATGAAAAATCCGGTATGCTTCTATCATCAAACACAAGTGATGAGGATGAAGGAATTGTATTCAGAGATGTTACCGAACGCTCCATGGGACTTGTCCATAACCACATGGAGGGCACTAATGATGTCTAAAGGCTTTGAAGAACGAATGACTTACTATGAGCATCTGAAAGAGTCTCATGCTGAGTTATTAAAGCCTTGGTATGAAGGCGAAGATTTAATGAAGCATAAGTATCGAATAACGAAACATCTTTTAGGTCATTTGGCTGATAAGCTTGATGAGGAATATGATAGGTTGAGAAAGTTTTGGGTACACGACAGCAATATTTCCTTGAGCTCAAAAGTGCCAGTGACTGAAGGAACTTTAGCCGTCGTTGAGTCTGAGAAGTTGAGAAATATTTTCTATCTACACGTTTACGACCACGTCGCAATTACTGTCGAAGCTTTTTCCGGCATCCTCAGTAGTTTGGATTTGAATCGATGGATAGAATTCGATTTCTGTCAGACGTGAAGAAGCCTTAGTATTCAAAAGAATGTACAATATCTAAAACCATCTACACGATTTGTAGATAAATGAAAATAAATTTGTAAAAACAGACTTTCGTTCCTTAATTGTTCGATTATGTATCTCCATCTTCCTAATGAATAAAATAATTTTGTGAGGAGCAGCACCAATAATAAATTTAGGACTAGGAGCATGACAGTCGTTCGTAATCGAAAATGTAAATTTATGTTGAAATTACATTTTACTATCAAAAATATAAATAGACGATCCGCCCTGTTGTAGTTTTGCTTGGCTACAGGAGCTCAATAGCCGCGCGACGTGGACGTCGTCATTGCACTCTGAGACGTAATGTCCAGGTCTCACTTGCTTTAAAGATGACTATCACATCCTCAATAGGCAAGAGGAACGATTGCTTCGTGGCAACACTGGTCAGGACGGTGGTACCATATATACGCATAGTCTTGATACAAATTTGGAAACTGTCGTGGCCTAAAGGACGGATGCATTCGTATATTGTTATGCAACGGTGGTCAAAACCCGCAGGCAGGTACCAATTTTTCTAATGAAATACGTACTTAACAAATGCTCACGATTGACTTCCACGGTGAAGGAAAATAACATCGTGTAATAAAAATCAAACCCGCAAAATTGCAATTTGCGTAATTATTAGTGGTGGTACGACGTTTTGTGAGTCCGCACGGGTAGGTACCACTACCCTGCCTATTTCTGCAGTGGCCCAGCCGTTTTACTGTAAAAGGTGAGACCATAGAACTCATGTCTCAGGGTGTATGGCGGCATTTACGTTGTAGACGCTTATAGGCTCCGTTAACACCAGGTAGGCCGTGAGCTCGTCCAACCATATAAGCAATAAAAAATATGTTAGAGCAATAAAATTATTAAAGAATAAAATTAAAACTTCTATTACGGTTTGACCACGTGCTTAGTTTTAACCACTGAATTGTTCATCGGATCTGAGTCGGCGATTCTGACCCAGTGGTAGATTCAGCGAAGCACTGCTCTTGCTAGGGCTGGAGAAGTTTTCATGTTATTATTTTCCACGTTTTAATAGTAGTTTTCTGTAATTAAAATTATTAAGCAATGCCGTTCAATGCACCTCGTTTTAACTCATATCAGTGGAACTTTGTTAAATGTTCTGTTCGCTTTCGATGAACTCTTAAAGTCACGTAGAATACTCCTATACCTATGTATACAGGTGACATGCTTTATGCGCAGTAAATGTACATAGTTATCGTAATTAATAGCTAGTAACGTAACTACCTAACTATATGAATTTAATAATTTGAACTTTCAAGTAGGTAGAGTAGAGTCATTGTAATAAAACACAGCAAAACGCAAAAATAGATAAATAGTATTTTATTAAACTTAAACGAAAACAATAATTTGATTAATCTAATAAATTTTGTAAGAGGTAGTGCGGGTTGCTATAACGAAAACGTTATAAACATTTCAATATTTAAACAAAATACAGTAAACTTAATAACGAACCGAGTTTTAATTGGTGTGAGTTTATTGTTAATACAAATCGCTCACACAAACAGAATACTCTTACGTCATCATTTCACTGTTCTAGTTCTTGTTTCATTGATCGCAGAAAATTAGTTGTTTTCAGAGTTTTGACCTAACTTGCTTAACGTAAATAACGGAGTGGCCCGGCGGGTGTCTCTGGGTCGGACGAACGTTTCTCTCAATGGGTTGACTGTCCGGCCCTTCAAGTTGTCGAAGTAGACCCAGCTGGGAACAAAAACGCTCTCATAAAACAATGCATTAGGTCAAGTAGAAAAGGTATCATGAAGTAATAAAGCTATGTAACGTTTTACCCTAATTATTTCTCAATTTTATTGGTGCCAGTACAGCATTCAATGTTGGCCTTCAACATTTTTTATAACAGCGAACAAGGCATACGCGGTCATACAGCCCCAAGCTAGGTTTCCCTGTCATATGGGACACGGAGATTGATATATGTAATTATGTACGTTTAAATAGATACATAATAATATATAGATATTGAACATTTAGATAAAGAGCAAACAAACTTGTAAATCACACGAATGCTTGCACGATGTGGGAATCGAATCCACGACTGTCGGCAGGAGCACAAGCTTCTGCCAACAACAACCAAGTCACCCAGTCAGTTGCACTTTAACTGATGAGATTGCGACTGACCACCAGCCTACGTAGTTTCATACAATACTTATTTAGTATTCCTATCCTCATCTATTTCTCATTTTAAATCCCCAGTATGTAGAGCCGTAGTTTTCAAGTACTGGAAATATGCCGATATTGAAAATTAGGATGGGTGGGTTCCATTATTAGCTAATTTTGCTGAATAGCCTCTTTGAGGGTATGTAGTGTAACTGATGCAACGAATAGCAATTTGAATATTCTCTCCCAAAGAGTGCAATGATAGTTGGGCAGTGCCGGTAGTCGGGTATAACAACCGCACAGATCTTTGGGTGCCAAGCTATTACTGAAGATTGTACAGATTGTTACCACAGCACGACACCCATGTTGAGGTACTAGATCAATCTCTTCATTGCATTAGAATATTCTATAAAAATGAACATCATATTAATATACGAGTTGACAGTAAGTGACCGTCTGCTTGTAGAAGTTATACTCGTACAAAAAAACCGGTACTGCACTATAAAGTTGCTTGCAGGAACTACTAAAAATAAAAATAAAACTCATGTTCTTAAGAATGTAATCAAATCAAAATCTAATTATTATTTTTTATAGTCAGACAAAATGTTTTGTACCAAGAAGCTGCCAGTTCAAATACAATATTACGGATTACGTTCACGAAATTGTAGACTTTCTGTTAGTTTTCTAAGTAAAGTGAGTGATCCATTGACGAGCAGTGAACCGACGGCCTGCTTAGTAGTGCTTAGTTTTCTCCCATGTTCGTCGGTTCGTTTTGCTATTTAATTAACAAACTAGCGGCCCGCTCCGGCTCCGCTCGGGTCTTTAACAAAAATTTCAACGATGTTTGACGTTGTTTTATTTTTTTAAATAAAATAACACTTATTGCGGCATAACTATAATAGTTAGATATATACTGTCGCGATACTTTTTGTAAATAATGATGTGTCCTACAAAGTTATAGTACATCATTTTATTATATCATCAATCGTTTTCGCAGAGCACGCGATGTAAAGAATATTTTAGGTAATTTTTTTACACCTTGGGTTACATTATTGAAGTTTTAGTAAGGATCCCGTATTTTTTCCAAAAAAGATTATAGCCTATGTCACTCGGGAATAGTGTAGCTTCCAAGCAGTGAAAGAATTTTTCAAATCGGTTTAGTAGTTTCGGAGCCTATTCAATACAAACAAACAAATCTTTCCTCTTTATAATATTAGTATAGACTAACTCAATGTGTGGCCAGCGCAATGAAATCAAATTACAAAGTACAACAGAAGTACGACTAGCCTATGTGAACAATTTGCAGCTCGCCTGATGTGGCGATTTGGGCTAGGAAGGTCAAATATCTGGAAGTCACCCTGCATTACTCAATAACCTTCCGTCCTCACATCAAGATAGTCCTCGATCACGCCAAAACAGAGTATGCTGTTTTTTCGTAGTGAGGTAACGCTTTACAAAACATGTATCCAGCCCATCATGAAATAGGCAGAGTGGTGGTGTCTATCCTAGCGAGGGCACAGGACAACCCTACCACCGATACATAATTAGACAAATTTTAATTTTTCGGATTTTATTTTTATTCGTACACCTTGCAAGTCATTTGTCGATTAAGTACATATTTAATTGGATAAATCCAATTATTTAATCTTTGTATAAAATACTTAATATATACTTAATCGACAAATGAAATTTATTTCAGTAGATACCTAAATACTTAACCTCTTTTTTCCGGGCCGGGGGCCGAACCTCGCAGGAGGTTCCCGTGAGGCTCCCCCGCGCTAGATAATGTGGGAATGAGGGATTATTTTTTAAACTTTAACGTGACGTTTCACCCTCATCAGGATTGCGAGTTGACTGACCTTAGATAGGCTTCTATTTAATTAGAAATAAGAATCTCCCAATAAATCTAGCTAACCATAACCGCGCGTGAGGGATGAGAATGAAGCTGGGGTGGTACTTTGTTGGGAGTTGTCATACGATATTACAATTAAAAATCAGCCGACACGAGAGAACACCGTCTGGCAGGCCTCGTGTATACTAAGGTTCATAAAAATATTAACTTGTTACAGCGATGAGTAATCTGTAGATGAACACTATTTTCAGTTCACATTAGGATAATCGTTTGACCGCAACGATTTCGCCTACCTTACTCTCCATTTAAGAATGAAAGTAGGGGTTATAGCGTTCTGATTTTTACAATACATCAACAAACAGTATATGAGTATTTACGTTTTCGGGATGTAATTACCGCTGGCTCCCATCTTTTATCATTGCGTGTTTTAATATATATTTGGTCAGTCGGTCGGTAAATCGATGATGTGGTACGAATATTTTCTTTTAATTGTAAATACTGCATCAATCTTCCAGATACCCGGACGTGTGCGGAGTGTTTCTGTATGTAAACAAAAATTCCAATAACCGGCGCTTGAGGTTTGTGTTGTCTACCGATGCCATTCTGGTTTTAAATGTTCTGACTAAACATTCTGCCAGCCCGTTTGTCCGAGGATGATATGGAGATGATGTGACATGTAAAATACACTGTTTTGTGCAATATTCTTTAAATTCATGAGTTGTAAATTAAGGTCCATTATCGGATATAATAATTTTTAGTGAACCAAATGTACAAATTATGTTATCTAATGTAAGACAAAGCGTTTTTATTTATTTATTTTGCTTTTTTGGCTGCTTTATTTGCTTAGATTGTGTGATCTAGTGTTGACGTGTTTCATAGGTCGTATTTCCACCCATTTGGAGAGAGCGTCGCACAATACCAACCAATACGATCTTTCGAACGGCCCAGCAAAGTCGATATGGATTCTCTCCCATACGTATACGGTATGCACCAGGAAAATACAGGAAGTTCAGGGTTACAAGGACGGATCTGTTGGCACCTGGTACATTTCTTGACAAATAATTCTGTCTTCGTCAAGGGTAGGCCACCAAACATAGTAACGTGAAAGTGCTTTCATAGCAGAAATGCTAGGATGTCCTCGATGAAGGTATGTAAGAATGGCTTTTCGGACTGCTATAGGTATAACGATGCGTCCTTGTTTCATAAGTATCTTATTCTCAACAGATAATTCAGTCACGTTTCTGTAGAATGGTTTTATTTCTGGATTGTATTCTGATTCTCTCCAGCCGGTTTTTAAATTTTGACAAGCTTTTGTAAGTATGATCTTTTGAAGCTGTTTTCATAAGTAACTGTTCTGATAGGTAAAGGTCAGTCATCCGAGTGCTCAAAAGACGTAGTTCTATTTTATGTACAAGCCCTTCTATCTCAGAGGGTTCCGTTTCAGAGTTTGATAATCTAGAAAGGCAATCAGCTAACGTGTTATTTTCACCTTTCTTGTAGTAAATGTCATATTGATAGCTTCCCACTACTAGGGCCCATCTTACCAATCTGTTATTGGCTAGTTTAGGAAGGTTACGGCGTGCTCTCTTAATATGTTTGCGAGGCTTATGGTCCGTAACTAGATTAAATTTCGTTCCTCTCAAATACAAGATCATTTTTTTTATATCAAATACTATTGCTAAAACCTCATGATCAATAACAAAATATTTCATTTACGCTGGTCGGAAGCAAAATCAATTGATTGGTCTATGTTTGAGTCCTTGTGGAATAATACTGCACCCAATCCCTGTCCTTTTCGGAAGTGTCACATGCTCAATAAAGGGGACGTTTCTCGTCAAATGCAATCAATGGTTGTGAAGAAGTTATGCATTTCTTTGTATCTTCAAATATTCTGTTTTCATGATCAGTCCAGCGCCATCTATTTTTTTTACTAGTTAGATCATGGAAATTCAAAGAAACCTCGTGAAGATGTGGTACAAGCCGATCGTAAAAGTTATTCCTAAAAATGATCGTAGTTTTTTGCATTACACGGTGCTGGGGCCTTGGTTATGGCGTTAATTTTGAATTTGGTTGGGTGGATGCCATGTTCATCTATTATATGACCTAGATCTGATCCTGTAAGAAATTACATTTCTTTAAGTTAACTTTCAGGCCGGCGTTTTGTAAGTGATTGAATACAATAGGTAAAGTTTGTAAATGTTCTGAAAGATCTTTCCCTGATATAGCTATGTTGTCAAAATATACAACTACATTGGTGCTATCGTCTAGCAGTTTATCTAGAAAATATTAGAATAATGGAAGGAGCAGTCAATACTCCCAAAAGCTATTGTATTGGAAACATCCTTAATGTGTTGACAACGTCAAGTACTTTTTCAAATCCGGTGCTATTTCAAATTGTAAGTATTACATGCGTCTTTAAGGTCTATTTTTGAAAATAATTTATGGTTTGTGAGATTTTGGCGTAGTTGATCGAAAATTGGAACTGGGTGTAAACGTTTGATAAGTACTAGATTAAGTGTAGTTCTGTTGTCTCCACATATCCTAACATCCCTTGTAGATTTCAGAATGCTAACTGTGGGTGTAGCCCATTCAATAGGTGTAATATTAGGATCTACTTTTTCTACTATACCCTCTGAGATCAGACTAACTCCCTTTCTATATTTTTTCATACTGAATTTTATAGGCCTTGCAGGAAGGTGGATCAGTTCAGCTTCTGGTTTTACATGTATTTTTGCGTAATAATTGCTAACTTTTCTTAGTTTTCCATCAAAGAGCTGTACATGTTTATTCAGTATTTGTGTAAGAGTTCTCGCTGTTGATGTTTTGATGGAGTATACTGATTTTGGAAACTCCATTTCAAAATCTTCACTCCAATGTAAGCCAAATAACATTGGTTTGGCTTTTTTCATTACGACAACAAGTAGGAGTATTTGCAGTCCGTCGACTTCGACTGTCACTTTTGTAATTCCCTTTGTTTTATGTTTATGTTGCCGTATGCTTTAAGTTTCGGGGCGGTTTGTAAAGATGGTAATTCTAATTTTTCCCATAATTTTGTTCCCATAATTTTGAAGTGAAACTTCCTTATCGGCGTTGGAAAAAAATTTACCGTCACATTTTTCGGTTACGCGTCACTTTTTTCCGTTACGCGCCATCTGTTTTGTATTCATGTCTATGATAATAAAATCCTTTTGTTTAAACTTTATCTAATTTAACTTTTTTGTATTCATGTCTATGATAATAAAATCCTTTTGTTTAAACTTTATCTAATTTAACTTTATTTAACCAATTTCTAGAAAGTTGCATGTAGATCATTTTTCGAAAAATAAGGCCATAAACAAGTTTCACTTCTTACGTGTGTACACTAGTACACGCACACATTTTTTGTGTTTATTATTGGATACGCAGAGCTGGGGTCCCAATCCATAGTGCAAAGTATGTCATTGATCCGTACATCGATTTGTTTGCATTCTCTCTTACGTTTACCCAAGACGCTGCAGATAACATCATCATCGCTTTCTTCCTCGTTATTACTGATAGATGATGATGATATTGAGGACCTATGAGGTCTTGTTATTTTTTTAACTGATTTTCGGCTCCCTTTAGTGTAGCTGATGTATGCCCGCACAGCGTAAACAATGCATTGGATTTAATTTTCGTGTTATATTTTGATGTAATGGTACGTTTTTGTTTTGCTCCTATTTATTCTTTTAATACTTGTTTGTGGTGTGATTTATTATACCTGTTCTATGTATTGAGCGATTGCAAAAATTGTTGGAAGGTTACTTCTCTTGATATTCCATCTACCATTTGAATTAAATCGGGCCATCTTTGTTTCGAGTCGGTTTCTAAATCTTGATGATTCAATTCAGTGGCAAAGCGGTTACGTAAATGTCATTCCAGGAAGTCACTAGTGTAGTCACAGTCCCGATTAAGACTTTATAATATGTTTACATAGTATCCCATCGTTTCATTTTGTTCTCTAGTGCAATTCCAAAATTCTGTTAAGGCTCGATACCTCGTCTTTTTATGCCATAGAAGTCTGATACAAATTTTGCTGTATGTGGCTATATCGTAATCAGGAGTTAAAGCTACTTTTAATTCGTGGAATATCTCTGGCGCTAGTAAATTCAGAAGCAAATCTTTCTGTTCGCTGTTATCGATATCAAGAATTTTGCATTTGTTTTCCAAAAAATCAATGTAATCGTCAATTCTGAATGTATCTGGGTTGTATTTACCCATGTTGAAATTTTTGATTATACTTATCTTGTTATCCGTACCATGTTTTGTGATAAAGTCGTTCGTCACGATCTTGGCTGTTGTATTACAAACTGCTGGTACCAACAATTTCAAGATTTGTAAAATTTGCTTTTGCTGATTTTGTTGTGCATGTACAAATGATGCGAACTGTTCATCAATCATCTTAATTTAATTTAACTCAATATAATATAACAAGGTTTTTAAGACATAACGTAAGATATAATAATAATAATAGATGGTAAAATAATAATATGTTAGAACTATAATTTAAATAATAGAATATGGAAAAGAAGGATACAACATAAACCCATTACAAATCAGTAAGATTTCAAGGTTAATAAAGTATCAACTTGTTGTAATACGTCGAGTACTGCTCTGTAGAATGCTACAGCTTGTACTACTCGTGCTAGTAGTTTTTAGAAACATAAAACATTTTTAGGCATCCTTTTAATATTGCAACTGACGTGATTTTGCGACACTTCTTACTGTGCCGATTTATATATAAAATTACACCACGAATAATCGTTAGACTACGAGTATAAAACAATAGAGGTAAATTAATCAATTGGCCTGGAGCCGAGAAGTGCTTTATTATTATTAATTATGTGATCATAAGCGACATTAAGGAAACTAAGATTCTTAATTAATGGTCCTTATTCAACGTTGCGAGATGTCCAATTTCCTGTCAATTATGTCTGGGTCAAAGTTAAAGATCTTTAAATATTCGGTCCTTCTCGAACAGAACTATTTCACGACAAGAGAGAGCAGGACAATATTATAGACTTGGGATTTTTGGAATTATTAATGTTGAGATAAATTAGGCTGTCCATCTACAAAAAGTCATTAGCGAGTGAGTATTTTTTTATAATTTAGAAAAATATGTATTTCCGTAGAAAAATCAGATGCGACAGTTATCCGTGTTCTTTGAAGTATCCATCATAAAATTGAAGCGCTCATCACGTTACGTCATCATCACGCACAGAATACAATATACTATTATAATATGCGATTTTGAATTTGTGAGCTCCGAGACATGAGGCACTTACGCGTGACACCACTACAACAAAACACTTAGAGAGTCTAATGCGGTTAGTGATGACAATTAATATTACTGCTATTCATACAAATATATCCTCATAAACGGCGAATATAGCATTATGTGTGTTGCTCCTAGACCCTACTTCGAACTATACTCGTATGTCCCATGTCCATTTATATATATGTCGGAGACGGTCATTAGTTTGGTAATAAAAAGAAGCGCAGCACGATTTCCGAGAGGTGACAACATCATCATCATTATCATTATCCTGCCCTTCTCCCAGTTACCTGGGGTCGGCGCAACATATTTTCTCCTTCCATACTCTTCTATCATATACCATTTCTTCGCTCACTCCCCTCTTAACCATATCGTCTATCACGCAATCCATCCATTTCTTCTTAGGTCTACCTCTTCCTCTATATCCTTCCACATTCATAGTTAACATTTTCTAACATATTCATTCCGTATTCTATCCGTTCTCGTTACTCCACACATTCATCGCAACATTCGCATCTCTGCTGCATGCAATCGCCTTTCATCATGAACATGAAGACAACATGATCGTAATATCATCAGAACTGGGCTATCTTGGTGCTACGACAGAGCCTATCTCATGGAGGCGCGCATGGATGCCACTTCACTTACCAACAAGCCTTTTTGAAGGGCGGTGCCTCCATCCTAAGAATTGTCATTTGTTTTCGTTTGCTAACGTCAAGACAAGATTTCTAAAATTTTCTAAGTCAACAAATGTGTTTGGTGTACTCACTATTTCTCTTAACTCAATCACCCTATTAGAATATGTCTACCACCATCCATCGGTCTTAATAATGCGGTTTCTCCGACATATATATCACAAGTTTGATGGAAATACAATATTTGTATTCTTATTTACCTGTTCGGAACCAATTTGTACAGGTTTCTCGTAAATGATCCAAGTGACACACTCGGTGTAGGGCGGCGTCGTCAGGGAGCCCTTGTAAGTCACGTAGTTGCCGATTTGAAGGTCTTCTCTGTCCATCCATAATAGCGATTCTGGAATATTTGCAACAAAATGACAAACACCACTATTTAAAATACTCCTGAAACTAGGTGTGTTGAATTATTTTAAGAAAATAGCACTAAAGCTGCTCATGACGAATGAGCGATACCTTATTTTCTGAAACACCAAATTTGATAGTTAAGAAGTTATGAGAGGCAAATCTTCCGGTTGTCGTGGCTTAAAAGAGGCACCGGCAGATACCGGTGTGCGCAATTGCTATACAATTTAGTGGCCCTAAGTATATATTCAAATACACATATAGGTACGTACTGAAAGCCTCCTTTGATATTGCACTAGTTCGGCAGGCAGGGCGTGTCATTGAAAAACGAATAAATAAAGCTTAAATAAATAACTAATGGAATGAACATAATTCATGAAACCTTGAAACAATAACGACGTGCTACGTTTGTTAGTAAAATATTAAAAAGCTATATATTAAGAGTCCAACAGTCGTTCCGTGTACAGCTGGCGAACGACGCTAGCTCCAAGAGTCACCTTTCTTGTTTAACTAAACAGGAACGCGGCCCAGGTCATCTTGTTGATGAATGTTCCCAACGAATATGACTTACGTACAATTTTGTTATAAAATGATGTGGCGCGCTTTGATAATAATGTATTTTTTCAAAATCTACTCATGTGTACATACATATATTTACAGGTATGACAGATCATGGTAGAGTGATGGAGATCAAATGATAAAGCTACTGATAACACGGTTTGGACTGAAATTCACTTAACAGTAAACATCGGCGTATGGTGGTGCAAAGTCCCACCATCTCGCAATGCCCCACCGGGATGGAAATTAATTCAATAAAAACTCAAAGAACAGTAATTTTATTTTAACCACTCAGTAATAGCGGGAAGGTGAGGCACTCCACATAATTTAATCATTTCGGAACGAGGAAATACGAACGAACTGAAATTGTTTTCTTCGCGTGGTGAATCTCCTCGCCAAATTATACTAAAAATTTATAGTGACCATTCAATGAAAAATCAATTGCATATACAATAAAACACAAATATAAATTTGTGGGTGGACGTCTTGTGAGAACGCATGAATGAGATCAGCAGATCACCTGCTGGTGCCGCGAGGTAGACATTTGTATGTTCCGGTTTCAAGGTTGGGGCAGTCTTTATTAATATAGTTGGGTCCGAGCTTCAATAGAATAATAGGTGTTTACGATTTTAGAAACCCGGGAGGGAAAATTGCTCGACACTTGACCCTTGGATTTTTTTCTGTCAAATCAGCAGTGTTATAAGTACTGTTAAAAATACAGAAAAACTCGGAAAAAATAAAAAGAAATACGATCGCAAATGTAACGAGTGAATTACATAATTTTATGCTGAATTCATAAGTAGGAATTTTATTTTTGATCATTTAAGAAGCAATTCTTGATTCTAGAAGACAGTGTTAAACGAAATAGCTATAACCGAGCTTTATACCATATTAGATTAGATTACTACGTATCTTCCAACAAGCATGGAATAAAATAAAATAAAGCAACTTATATAAAAGGTCAAGTTAGTGCTAAAGTTTCCTTCACCGATTCCTAAATGAGAAAGATAGAACACCCAATGCAAACAATCTCGGTAAAGTTTAGTTTCTTTTTATACCTTTTTTACAGTCGCACCGGTTGTTAAGAAATACTTTTACGACCTTCTGATCAAGGAATACCGTTTATAAAATATTTAGTATAAAACTTATTTTTATTGACAGAGTTCTCGTCGTGCTGTTTGGCAAAGTTACCAACTATGTCTGCACGAATGGCCCGCGTTGTGTTCAATGGTTCAGTAACATGCAGCTGTCGGTAATAAGCTTCGGTCGGCTTACCTGATAACTAGCAAAGATCAAAGAAAAGGAAATGACGATCGGAGTCTGTTAATCATAGACGGAGAGGCCCGGAGCGATCTGTTTTGATCGCGTATCAGGGAAGGATTCCGCTTGAAAGTTATTGAGTTAAAATGCTACGGGTGTGATCCCACTTTAGTGACCACCCTCTGTGCTGTAGCACGGGTCCCGGCCTTGATTCTCGATCGGAGTCAACAGGATTCGATACTTGTTGTTTGAAGAATCTTACCTGAAGTAACATTCATGACTGACTCCCTCTTCTGAATCCCCTCCAGACCTTGTACTAGTCTATCGAACCTCGGGTTGGGAGCGTCGACAGTCTCCAGGAGGAATCCGACCACAGCCAATCCATCGGGATGGCCCACCGCCGTCTCCAAGGATTCGTATTTACTGTTATAGTGGACGAAGTGGCATTCTGCGGCGTACCTGAGCAAGCAGTCATTGAAGGTATTTAAAGTTTGTAATAGCTTGCGCTGTAGGTCAAACTACGTGAAAACTCTGTACCATCTCAACGTATAAAAATACAAATGTTTAAATAACAGGTTGTCGACTATCGAGGAGTGAGATAATTTTTTTTTGTCGTTGGTGGCAGCGTATGTTTCATCTGACAGTAATAGCCAGCCATGCCCAGGAAGCCCATTTGAAGTCGTCGTGGCCTAAAGGATAAGACGTCCGGTGCATTCGTATCGAGCGATGCACCGGTGTTCGAATCCCGCAGGCGGGTACCAATTTTTCTAATGAAATACGTACTCAACAATAAATGTTCACGATTGACTTCCACGGTGAAGGAATAACATCGTGCAATAAAAATGAAACCCGCAAAATTATAATTTGCGTAATTACTGGTGGCAGGACCTCTTGTGAGTCCGCACGGGTAGGTACCAACGCCCCGCCTATTTCTGCCGTGAAGCAGTAATGCGTTTCGGTTTGAAGGGTGGGACAGCCGTTGTAACCATACTGAGACCTTAGAACTATATCTCGAGGTGTGTGGCGCATTTAAGTTGTAAATGTCTATGGGCTCCAGTAACCACTTAACACCAGGTGGACTGTGAGCTCGTCCACACATCTAAGCAATAAAAAAAAGGAAACTGGAAGCTGGTGTAGAATATTTTCTAATACAATGAAAAAAATTCATCTCTGCAGAATATCCTGAACATTTGTTACAGGGAGTTAATTTTAGAGTCGGATGATACGTGAGAAAAGTGAGAGAAGTAAGGATGTGTTTTTTTTCTATGGTGCGAGAAGATAAAGAAGATCACGGGATCATCTTAAAGAATTTCTGGAAATTTTCTGTGAGAGCTTTTATAGCAACCCAACGGCCAGTTGTTACTTGTTTTATATAATGCGACCATGTGACAATGTACCCCAACTTCGAGCCCGAGGTAATTAATAACATAAGTGATAATGAACTTAAGTGGTTTGTTCGTTTCTGACAAAATAAAACGCTTAAGTAGTTCTTAATTATTTTACTGGGGTATTATGGGGCAGAAGTGTAATCGCGCGACCTCTAAATTCCACAAAACGGTTCAGTTCACAAATGAAAATTTGCTAACAATTTCACGGATAACCACGAGCTGAACTTTAATCAGTGAAAGTCACTTTACGACCCTGAACATGATGTCAAACTGCTTGCGTAGCTTAATTGTTTAGGGGTATAATGACGTAAAGTTTCATTTAAAAGATATAATCTTCTGCTATGCTTATATATAAATAAGCAGACTTCAGTTCAATACCATTTTGTCTTCAGTCTGTGAATCAGTTTTCTTTTTTTGTTTAACGTGCTTTAGTTTTGGGAAGAAAAATATTTAGGATCATCATTTTCATCATATTGTTATATGGTAAATTTAATCTGAACCATGAGGAAATATATCGCTTATTCAGCGAAAACTTGAAGCACGGAATAGCTTAAACACGGCGCATTCAAATTTTGTTCTCAACAAACCGTTTATATAGGATGGTAAAACACTTATGATCGTTTGCATGCCCTGGATCACCAAGTTGGCTCATGCAATGGCCGAACAAAGGGTTCGACGTGAAACTAAACACACAGACACAATCCACCGAGTTTTCACCAGAGCTTCTTAGGGGGAGTTGGATGGTTGTTGGAACTTCCGCGATCACTTCGAGAAGCTGGGCCCCCAACTGATGGCGACGGCTGGCTCATTGAGTCGGCTCTAGCCAAACGTCGGGGGACCTGAACCAGTGGCCTTTAGGTGGGTGTGATGTGGTCCATGGCACTGTACGAGATTTCCGTATAGACTCTCACATGTATGCGTATCGATACCGCAGCATCTCCTTCGAGGCAGCGTGCGTTCTCAACGGAACGCCTCCCTGGAGGTGGAGGCGCTCGCCAACGATTATGCATGGCGATGCGACCTCCGCAACAGGGAGAAGCCGGCAAAGGAACGATCAGAGCGTGAAGACTCTGACCTCGGTGGTCCGTGCTGAGGCGTGGTGTCGCCGACCAGCCAACCGGTCGGCCGGTCTTGGGACCGTCGTGATGATGCGCCCGGTCTTCATGGATTGGGTGGCAAAGGAGGCGGAACCTCGAGGTGCGGCGCGCTGCCTACCTAGCTACATGCACTCTATCGCGCTAAACATGGAAGCAGTTCTTCGGAACTTCTGTGTAAGAGCAACCGGTTGATGTGTATTGCGTTCCGACCTGGTAGTATGGTTTTGGCCTAGCCAAGTAATCCGGAACGCCAGCGGCACCGCCTGGGGCGGCCTGGTGGCTACCGTACCGAAACGGCCGACGTGTAGTCGTCGACTATCGCCTCGACGACCCGTCGGTTGGGCGTCCTAGGGGTGGCGCCGCGAGTCTAGTTGTAGTGTTAACCGCGGACCTCCCTCCCAGCCTTGGCTGAGTTCTGACCCCGGCCAGAGATCGGATGTTCGGTGAATAAGGGGAGCAAGGGGAGTCGCGCCGCCTAGAAGATTGTCGGCACTCTCTGATACCTCTCATCGTTAACAGTGACCGTAGTTGATCAGGATCACATTTTTTATGTGGAGTGTATTTAAATAGTATGATCCCGGATATGTAGTACGTATTATATATTTTATAAATACTTATAACCAGAATTCCTTTTCCCTTCCTCAAACCTTCTCTTCTTCAGTAAACTCTATAAATTTATCAAGACTAGACTATTAACCCTTTAGGACAAGAGATAAATTGGGAGCTTAGTTCCTTCGGTTGTAGCTTTGAGTTCATAAAACAACTTAACGTATATTCGTTGTAACATTTTATGTTATAAATGGACAGTAATTTATTTGATAGGCATATTATTCGAAGAGTAGTTTTGAGCGGACTGTCACGGAAGTAAAGTAAATTCGTTTATAAGTTAGATCCTCTAGTTATTTATGAGGTTTGGTGTTAAAATGGATCTAAATAATGAGATGTCAGTGATTGTTGGCGAATATCGAGTATCGCGCGGACACTATTTTAGGTATTTTTTATTATTATTAGTGTTGTTTCTTACGCGTATGGCATTATTCTAAGGAAATATACTTTATAACAAGTTTTTATGAAATCACTTGTACATTAAAATGTAAAGAGAATTTAAAAACAGTATATTTTTTTAAACAAGATTGTAGTTTTGCTTTATATATACTTTCTCTATATAAATTTGGTACTGTATTTTAAAGATCATACTAAAAATATAAAGATATTATTAGCTCACCCGTGGCCATCGAGCACGTGCTCGCATCCGGTGAAGTCATCTACAGACCAGTGGAAGTGCATCTGCTCGAAGATATACTCTCCGATCAGGGGACCCCCGCTGAGGGTCGGTCGCACTGACGCGTCGTTGAACGTGAAATATGCTACAACACAAAATCTACCTTAGCAACGGGTGTAGGGAAACAATCACGACAACAAAGATCATATTACTAAACAATCGTGTTGGGTTGAAATAAATGTAATCTTCCGGAAATCATTGCGGTAGGCAGCGGCTTGGCTCTGCCCCTGGCATTACTGAACTCCATGGGCGACGGTAACCACTCACCACCAGGTGGGCCGTATGCTCGTCTACCTACAAGGGCAATAAAAAAAAAAACATTATAATTTGTAGTAAATTGTGTAGTAAAAATTTATTGCGGACGTAATGTATCAGATATAAAAAATGGACTTGTGTAGTCCGCGGCAGACATCCTCATTTTGGATTTGCTAATTCCGGTAATTTGAAGATTCTAAAACGACAAGTATGTAGTTCATGTTTATTTTAGTAGAAGTTTTTTTTTTGTACAAACTATAAATATTTAAATTTCCAATTTCAAAGTAGTGACTTTCCGTTTATCAGGTATGTACGATACAGACGTGTCACATCTTATACGTTATTGGAGCCCTAAGTTTGTATTTATTCGATTAAAATAGAGAATACGCCATTTCGTCATTATTCTATTTTCTTTCCGACAACTTATCCGGGTCATTCTATACTTACTTCAACTATCACAAAAGCATTGTTATGAAGAAAAAAAAAACAGCAATACAGCTATGAAAGGGCTTGTCTGTAAGTACGAGGATTACTGAGTTAGAGGGTGAAATAAATCCCAATAACATCTCGATTGACATCTTGAAAAAAACTAATCCACTCTGTAAATAAGGTTCCCTTTCCTAAATCACTAAAAATCATACATATCCAATGCGGTGACCTCGATGGAAATAGGCAAGCTACTCGTTCGTCTGTGTACAATACTGAAAGTGTGCTATGAGAATATTAGACTTATTCCAAATCAGTGTAAGGCCATTGCCGCCCGGTCTATCTTGTTACGAGAACAGTTTTTCGGCACGAAATCCTGGATTGTACGCCCCGAATGTCATTTGCGAAGTATTTACGCTTTTAAAAGAATATTTATGTTATACCTATATGAATCTTGCGAATAATTTTTGTTCGCACTAAATCACGATTTTGGCTACCTCATTTATCAATGCGCTCTGATAAGATAAAAATGAAGTCTGTGTAATGTGTAAACGTGTCTGTTGTAACTAGTATGTACTAATAATAGTTCTCGAGTGCTTATTTATCGAATTAATATTGAAACATTATATTAATAAATTATGTAGTATACTTAAAATAGTTTGTGATTACTCGTTATAGGTTATGCTTATGTTAACATTAATTACGACGGGCATCATAATTATAAGTGCATAGAGAACGATTGCCAAAGTCTATAGTCTAGAGTGAACAAACAAGAAAACGTAATAATAAAGTAAAACAATAACATGAAACAAACTCGTTTTGTAAAAAGAGAAAAGGGAAAATGTATATTTTAGTCAGTCTGTATCTAGTGTGGTACTTTTTTTTTTATGATTGAATGATTACTGTTGGCCCGGAGGCCTTTCCAGTTTCACCAGGACAGGTGGGCGAGCAAAGGCTCAGCCAGGAGGGTGGGATTTGCTAACAGCTACCCGAGCGCCTCCGAAGGAGACCTAACAGCTCAAGAGCAGCTGCTTCGCGAATGAATCTACTACTGGATCGGAATCGCGACCCGCTGAGAAGATCCGGCAAGAAACTCAGCGAGCTGATTCATGGGTTAGGTTGCACGGCGAACTCTTTGTCAAGTTCGACGATTACGGTTGCCGGGGTCCCTAAGCCTGCTCCTAGTGTTAGAGCTGAAGGCGTCTAATGCAAAGGTTATTGGATATGATGGATCCGTAAGAACGTGTCTAGGGCGTCGACGATGACTGGCTCCTGCGTGATCAGGATTCGGGGAGTAGTCAGCGGCGGCAACGATAAGGCGATTATCATGACGCATAGCCTTATCGAAGTACCGTTCCGACGCTGACTTCATGTATTTCTGGATAGATTCAAGGCCCAGGTCGTCGTGTAGGTCAACGTTCCTCACGAACCACGGAGCTCCGACGGCTAACCTGCAAAAGCGGGATTGTAGAGATTGGAGGGTGCATATGTGTGTGCGGGCCGCGTGAGCGAACACCACACTCGCGTAAGTCATGACGGGCCTTATGCAAGTTTTGTTAAGTGTCACCTTGTTCCGAAGGGACATTTTACTCCGCTTACAGATCATGGGGTAGAGTCTACCGAGAATAAACGCGGCACGGTCACGGACTGATTCTATATGCGGGCGGAATGTCATCGATGCATCCAGGGTTACCCTGGTACTTGACCTTCCTGGCCCAGGGTATGGGTTGTCTAAAGAGAGTAATCGGCGGTGTGAGATTCCTCCTCCTAATCCGGGAGGAAATCCGTGTGGAGCATCCCCTCTGAAATAGCACCGCAGTACTTTTTGCTGGGTTGATGTCTATGCGCCATTTTCGGAACCACTGTCCTAGGGCTAGGGCTGCGCTCTGAAGCTTCTTCGCGATTAAGGACTTGTTTCTACTGGAATAGTAAACAGTCGTGTCGTGGGCGAATAAAGCTAACTGGGTCGGCGGCGACCGGGGAATATCGTTGACGAATAAGCTAAATAGGAGGGGTGAGGTACTTATTCTAAGGTCTGTGAGTATACAGTGCAGACTGCCCGCGTCGTCACCGCCGGACCTGACAGAGGAATAGAGCCGTCCGGCCTTATGATGAAGAAAAACGGAATTCAGTTATCTTTTGAATTTTTTTTTTTTCCACCTAAGCTGAGAGCCTTGAGAGGCTATGTCAGCGTAACCCTAACTTTTGTAGGTGAGCTCACGGGGCTCAAACCTGACGATGTTGCTAACACGAACCCTAGCAAGAGCCGTGCTTCGCAGAATCTACCACCGGATCGGAAACGCGACCCACTGAGAAGATCCGGCGAGAAACTCAGTGGGCTGTGTCTGAGAGTTAATTTACTCGTCGAGCCCTTCGTCGCAAGCGACGGGTTCGACGAGAACGGTGACCGGTGCTTGAAGTACCTAGAAGCACCGTTAGTGGATCGGGAGGATCCGAGATGACGTGTTTTGGGCGACGTCGACTGCTTTCCATTCTGTCCGCAGGATCGGGAATGATGATATTTAGTTATAGGCATTTTTATATTGAGCTAATAATTTTTTGGCTTTTTTTTAAGCTATAGTTACATATTATCTCTAATAATATTTGTGTTTAATACAAACGTTTCCATTTAAAAGACCACCAAATGAACGATCAGCTTGTCTCTATCCACAGCGCCTTTACCAACATAACATAATTATTATACTCTGCTTTAGGCCACAATTACTTCTATCGGCAGCAAGAGTCAGGGCTATTAGCGGCACTCTGGGCTCATTGCAAATACATTGGAAAATGTTTACAATACTAATTGAATTAGTAGGTATCACTCGCAAGTGAGACGTGCTCCTCAAGCTCACTATGCATCAGTGGGTTATACAAAGAAACCGTAACGTAAAGACTTTCCGCAAGCGTAGACGACATGTGATGAGTGTGTTGATGAGATCGTTTCTAATTAAGTTAAATCTAACTACTTAGCATGGCTTAAAGAGATGGCCGGTATCAAAAAGAAATAACAATCTAAAATGAAATTTTGATGACTCACTTACTTCATTATAGAGGTCATTCATCAAAGTAAGCATTAGGAACTTTACTAGACATATTGATATGACAAGTCCATGGACCGAGTCGAGGTTACTCGGATGGCCGCATGACTACACTGAGTGACTAAATTGTAGTTGCGTAATTAAGTTCTCAAATTTGACAGTACGAGGTATGCTAGAAGTGTATTAATCTAATAATGACCTTGGTTAATTGCTTTAGGTCACTTACTCGTCTCGCAAATAGGTGAACGGCTACATACCAGTAGATCCATTATTTAAAAGTATGGCGTTAGCGTTGCTGTCCCAATATCCCTTGAACTTCAGAGGATCGAGCGAAGACCAAGTCGGACACCGGCTCAATGATATAGCAATCGGTGATTGTGAAGGTCTTAATCTTGAAATGTGCTCGGCTAAAATAAGAAAAATATGTTACAGAACATGATAATCAGGAACAAAATTAAATTATAATTCTAACTTTGGAATAAAAAGTAACAAGCCACGACATCAAGGCGTAAGAGGATGTTCAGTTTTAATGAATATCTTACGTTTACGAACTTATTAATAAACGAGATGTAACGAATCCTAGCTCGTCCTGTGATTTCTCTATTTCGATCGTGTTTCAAGCTGTAAGCCGGATAATTAATAAAGGCAACGCGTCGTCACTATTCCCAGAAGGCCGGTTACCAAACGAAATGATAATTAAAAAGTTTTCCTGCTCGAAAATAATAACGTTTCCCATAAGGATAAAACTTTGAAAACATAACATAGCTAATTTATAGTACCTAAATTGGCTCGTGGGACATCATAGTATTACAATGGAAATGTCGCCACCCGCCGTGACATGAGACATGAGGTTACAGTTCTGTTCTGAGTGTGATGTGTAATGGCGGAGCGGATGACTGCTTCAAGAAGAACAATCGGACGATGGTACCAGCCCGGGCGGCTCCGCGCTACCACGAGTAGTATGACAACGACGTACGACGCAAGATAAACGATTTGACGATTTGTATCAGAGTCTGTATTTAGATAAGATTTTTATATGCATTTATCTACAAAATATAATACAAATATTTATATTTTATAGTTATCTACATGTGTGTATATGAATATCTTTCCTGATAAAACGCGATTTTATTTCATTTTAAGTTCTAAATATAATTTAATCTATATATATAAAAATGCATTGCTGTTCGTTAGTCTCGCTAAAACTCGAGAACGGCTGGACCGATTTGGCTAATATTGGTCTTGAATTATTTATCGAAGTTCAGAGTAGGTTTAAAAGGTAGATAAATATGAAAATTCTCGGAATTAAATAAAGTTTAGGTCTTTTATTTATCGATTGAGGCACTACGAAGTCTTCCGGGTCAGTTAGTAATATATATATATATATATTTTATAACATCATGACAATGAAGTTGTTAAGAGAGTTTTAACTATGAATATGAAAGGGCTTAGAAGAAGAGATAAACTTAAAAAAATTTAGATGGATTGCGTGAAAGATGATACCTATGTACAAAAGGGGAGTGAGCAGAGAAATGATATATGATAGAGGAGTATGGAAGGAGAAAACATGTTGCGTCGACCCCAGGTGACTGGGAGAAGGGCAAGAGAATGATGATATTTTTTTATTTTTATTTATTTCATTTACATTTATTGATTTATAATGTCATCTCGTAAGTATATGAGGTACTTAGCGCACTAATACCTCAAAATTAAGTAAGAATTACAAGAGAATAAAATATTAACTACTTACACTAAAAAATTGTGTAAACATTTTCATTTCATATTTACGTAGACGTCACCTATGCAATGAGATTTGAAAAGTAAAATGTTGTTACGAATGGAAATAACAAGGCCCAAGCACTTGTCTTTGACGATCGCAAATTCAATGTGTTAGTTTAATGGCTTTTTTTGATGGTTAAGGTTCTTTACATTCACAGAACGTCTAAATAAAAAATAAAAAATGTTTGGTCATTAATATACATTTTTTTAAATATTTTAAAGCAATAGATTTTGTATTAGACAAAAATAATCATATCGCTTGGTAATTACTCTGTCTACAGATTGCACCGTGGTTGATCGAAGGTTGCACCGCCTTTATTAAAGAGGGTGTTAAAGCTTTAATAAGTAAACTATTCGTCACTACAACTAATCACAATTCATAGATTTACGAGTATAACTCTCGGTTATTTAATTGACAAAATGATGTTTAGAATCGGCAGCCCTTTCTTCGTTAATAAACTAAGAATGTGATATGAAGAAAAGCAAAAGATAGAGTCAAAATAAGGCTAAACAAATCGACATTATACAATAAGAAGGCGCTCCAAAGATACGAAAAACTTCTTTATTTGAAGTTATAGAAGAATATAAGAAAACACAGAACAAAATTTGGAATGTTAATGATCGATACCTATATTGTTTTCGGCAGAGTCATCTTGTGTCTTCTTGTGGTGGTTGAACACGACTGAATAATAATTAAAAAACCATTTTTTTTTATAATTATTAGTAAATCGACATGATACAGAAGGACTAAATAATTGAGGAAGAATAAATAAATATACAGTTGACATTATGGTAAAATATATTTAATTGTCAAATGTTAACAAACATAAATAGGGACATATGCTCACTCATCACCGTAAATCCAAGTATGCTATTAAAGACGATAGAAGAAATGTGTAACTGTTGTAATTGTGGGAACATCGTTATGATTACAATATAGCAGTAACGAGATGTTTATATAGAACTTCTTTGACATTCAATTACCGTCACTGAGTGCTGTGATATCTATATATTAATACGTGAAGCAAAAACTTTGTATCCCTTTTTACGAAAATTGCGCGGACGGAGGAGTATGAAAATTTCCACACTTATAGAGAATATAGAGAAGAAGTGCACAATGCTAATTTTTTTTTTAAATAATGCATAAAATATACATTAAATCAATACAGAAAACATTACACACACTACATACCATGTATTTGACGCACACACGCATGCATACTATTTATTGTCAAACTTTTGTTCTTGACGTCTGTTGTCAAATTGAGAATAGATTAAATATTGTTTGTCTTTGTTAATATATTTTATAGTGTAGTCTTGGCGAAATTTGTGATTATAGAAGTATAGAATACAATCATAATAGTGTACAAACTTACAATTCCAATTAATTATAGTCGAATTTCGACTACTGCGGGACCTCTAGTAAATGTAAATCAATAAAGCTGTGGGTGCTGCAGGAAAGTACACACGCAAACCAAAATCATAAACACGATGACCTTTTCACTTAGGACAGTGGATCTAAAAATAATAATGTGACCTTTTCCGATTTGACAGTATAATCACCTCATTGGTCTAATATTCACAGCACCTCTTCTGGTAATTTATCTAGCAAAAATAGACCAGATCGATTTGTGATTTGATAGCTGATTTTTATTTAAATGAATATTTGTAAATTAACAAGAAATATGTTCTCCATGTACATACTCTTTGGAGCGTTTCTTAATGCTTATAATGTTTTGTCAGATGTGAAAATAGTTAAAGGAAACGTCAACGCCAAAAAACTGTGGAGCTCCAAACTTAAATCGCAAAATTGTAGGTCATGCGTAGCAACTCGACGAGTGGGGCAGCAACTAGACAAACACGATTGCTACCACGGGTCTCTTCTTTTCCCTACCTAATCGTTGATAGCCTAAAGGGCTATTCCAACTTCGCGCTTCCAATTAGCCCTATAAATAGCAGTGCTTCGTTAAAATATCTACCACCGGATCGGAATCGCGAACCACTGAGAAGATTCGGCTAGAAACTCAAGTCTATGGGCTAGTTCGCATGTCGAACTTTTCGTCGGGGTCGACGATTTCGACCAGGACAGTGACCAGTGCTTGAAGAGCCTAAGAGCACCACACCACTTGTCTCAAGTGAAGTCTCGCGCGCAGCACGTATTTACACAGGTCCAAGTATTTTTGCTCGATTTAGGAAAACAAGACTATTTGCCATTTCTAATTTGATTTTAGTAATCTTGAACTTGAAATAGTGAAACAGAAATGTACGGAGAAGGGACGAGCGAGGGTGTCGGGTATTCCTGTTGCGATTAATAATTTATGAATTCTCTTTTTCATTTTCGGGAACAGTTGGGCTCAAACGTACGTTTCTCGATGGTTCCATAGAGACTGTAAGAAAATAATCCCAAACAGAAAGCAAACACACACGAAAATGTTCCATTAAGGATTCAATACTTTCATCGGCTGCCCGAACCTACATAAACAAGCTTTTAAAATATATAAACTCAATCAACTACGAATCTAAACATGAATATCAAACGTTTGTACTGACAATAATATTACTCTTACCAAAAAAGTTCTGATAAGAATAATATTTAGTTTCAGCGACCTTCTGGTGTGTAAAATACATATTAAAGTCTGTTGGTAGCAGCTTTTTTTGAGGTGTATATAATTATTATGTACAATTTACAATATACGTAGATTGTATTAGTTGAGGGTGAAACAAAAACAATGAATTTTAGTTGTGGTTCTTAATGTTTTAATTATTCTTAAATTGATAGAGCACTGGTAGATGTCGGAACAACAGACAGGCTGTTCATTGTAATCTCAATTTTACCGGAGTTAATAGACTTTACAACGGATTGCCTCTGCACAACAGGGGGCCTCAAAAGACATAAGATTCCGATGATAAAATGTCAATGCTATAACCTCAATGATGCTGTATCTCACTCTATATAAATGCATACGCTCGAATGCGTTCTTGCGTCGCAGAAGAAAATGACAGAATCCGAGATTTTACAATGGGTCAGTAGCCCTCGTTCTCGCAACTCTTTGTCAAGTAAACTATTTAATAAGCAAAACGTTGAATATGGTAAAGTAAACGTGACCTTACCATTAAAATATGCTGAAATTCTCCAGACAAAATAATTAGTGATTCACTAAATTAAATTTTAACTTAAAAGAATACGAGTTAAATCAACGGAAGGATAATATTGATGGTCCTACAAGTTCGCATGGGGAGATAGGATACAGGACGGGGATAGGGTGATTTTTACGGGAAAAAATCACCGTATCAAAAACTCCTGACGCTCACAGCCGGGGCTCGGGCCGAAGCCCAGTCGGGGCCATTGAGACGGCGGGAAAGAATCGACGTAGAGCATATTTTATTACATCTATCCCGCCGTCTGGGGACGCCGGACTTGCGGCCGCCGGCGACACGACCACCGATTCCCTCGGTCGATGGGCCGGGAGCCCGCCTTGATGGCGCCGCCCTGCACCTTCCCCCGGAGCGGTCGGGGGAACGCGGCCTACCATCATCCGGATTCTTATTACGGACGAGCACGCTGCCCCACGCCTGGATCCCTTCCCGCACAAAACGGTTGGAGCTCGAAGTTCTTAGGGGGACAGGT